TAATTGGCCATCATAGGGAATGTATAAATAGTTATTAATGTAAGGATTTGGAGACTCTGCTTCAAGATCTAGGGCCAGCCTGCCCAGACTTATCTTACTGTAATCTCAGAAATAAAAATTCTCTGCTCTGCTTTAGGGAGCATGAAATAATTTCTGTTTGCACAGTTCTTTCAGTTACTTTGATGCTGTGATACAAAGGTCACGGGTGGCCTCTGGTCATCACATGGCTTTTTCACTAATTGTGCACTCACATCATTTTGTTCTGTGGGATCTTTTGCTTTTTGATCCAGTTTCAATTGCCCAGATGTTCATTTCATACAGTTAACTTTATACAAAGGGCATCCTTTGTTCCAACAAACACATTGTGGTCATTGTTCTCAGCTGGGAGCCCAGTGCACAGCACTTCACCTGTTTCCTATGTAACCCACCATCAATCTGTCGACCTTTGTGCTGGTTTAATGTAAAATCATTCATTGGGAGAGGAGGGATAAGGAGGAGAAATTATGCAGAAGTGTTTCCTGGTCCCTAGCCTTGGATTGATTAAGGTCATGCTACAAGATAAAAAGGCAGTAAGAAGTGGAAGAGCTTTCATCTTGACCCTTTTGGTGTGTAGTGTAATGGAAAATCACATTAGTACCTTCAAAGTTTTGCTCTGGTGTCTCAGGATATATTAATGGAGACCTAAACATCTTCTAGAGGGAACCTTATTGCCACTTCACTCCCTTGCCACCTATAAAGGTTTCATGGTAAGGCAGAGAGGGTGCTTGCCAGTCCATGTCAGGGTGACTGTCACACAATGAGAGGCACTGCTTCATAATCACCCAGGAGCCCATGGATTGCCCAATTCAACAGATTTCAGGAGGGACAGATCTCAAGGTTATTCCAACTGCAAGTATCCTATATAGAACAGCCCCTTTGCTGTTAAGCCACGTGGACATCACATAGACTTTAATTTAACCTTTAGAGCAATCATGAGAGCTTAGTTCATGAGCAGATAAATTCCATGGAAAGCTTTGAAAGAAGATTTTACATATAAATGCATTTGCTGTTACAGAAAGATCTGGAAAGCGGTGGAAAATTGGGCAGGGATTAAGCAGTATATCATGTAAGAAGGGTGTAATTTGGCAATATATATCTGCGAAGGCTTTTGAATCTCTATCGTGGCCAGGAGACCTTCCAAATGACAGGAATGCAGCCATCTTGAGCCCAAACTTTCCTAGAAAGATGACCCTACAAAACTATCCAGGCTGTTGGCGGGGATAGAGTTACTGGCAACATGCACAGTGTTTTAATGGCCAAGGCTGAGGCAGAAGAGGAGCTACGCCCCACAGCCCGCAGCAGGCAAGAAGAGGAGGCTTGGAGAGGTGCTGGCACTAGGCAGTGATTTTTGACATTTCTTTCATCCAGGCAGCTGTAAGAGTGCTGGGCAAGATCTGCACAAGATTGAAGTTTGGTTTAATGTGCTGATGTGATTTGCTGTGACCCTTTGTACCTCTCTGGTGCCTGGGCCAGGATACCCAGGACATCCGCCATATTCTTCTTATTCAAACCTGCAAGTATCTGCTCAGCTTGGCAAACAGAACAGCAAGGAAGTGAGAGGGAGGAAACCAGGGGTCCTGTCTGTTTCTCACTATGCACAGTGGCTAGATGACTAGAAAGGTACAGGGTTTTGTTTTCAGAAAACAGTATTTCCCATTACTGATCCTGCCGAAATAGGTGAGCAGAGACAGACACTATCCCATGCTGCAGCAGCTGCAGCACCATCATTCTCCATTCCTCTCTTTTCACTCTATAAATCCCTTGACATAGCTGTAAATTCCCTGTACAGTGTCCTGCGTAGCTTTCACTGAGAATAGCTGGCCAGACAATACTTCCAGAGCCTTATTGCGTTAAAAATGTTGGTTTTTTTCTTCTATGCATCTCCCTATGTTTCCATGGTCAACAAGGGCTGCATCCAAGCAGACACCTGCATTCAGTATCAGTCTCATGTAATGCCCACAAACATCACTTCCACACTGTAATAGTTTGGAAATAAGGCCAAGTGACCAAACCCCTCTGTCCTTTCCACCAGCACCCTCCAGCAGATTGACCTGGGAGGCTTCTGATGTAGGACTTAGAGCTTGATCAGTCCCAGTGACTGACAGCAGCAACAAGTAGCTCTCTGGGGAACAGGACAGGGAGGGCAGGTGGGGAACCCTGTCTCCTGGGACAAGCTCCAGTCTGCTCCAGAGAATGTGCTAATTTTCACTCCTTTATAGTCCTTTATCTCAGCCCTTCAGCCTTGAGCTCAGAGGCATTATGAGCCTTAGCCAGTGAGAAGTTAACCATTGAAGTGCTGATTGTTTCTGATACGAAGTCCTGAAGGTAAAACCACAGTGAATGCAAGCAGCAAGTCAGTGGACTTTTCAGGTTTGGTGAGGACTGATTTATTATATTAGGAAAACAATTTTGTACTGAATAGATGGGTTTGTGAGGTACAGCAGTTTTCAAAGTCTGCATGCCCCACAAAGTTCCTGTAGACACCTCCTGTAAGAATGTATCTTGTGTGCACTGCTATACATGTATATGAACTTGTTTTCCTTAGTCATCTTTTCATCCTTATCTGGACTCAATTATTGCTACATAGAGCGCAGGCAGAAAGTTACTGGTCTCCTGCTTTCTGTGAGATCCCTGCTATCAGGGTAACGCTTAATATTTTGACTTTACAAAGCATTAATCTTGATTAATGTATTGCCAGTTATGCTACTGACTTATCGGGTGACATTGAGCATGTCGTTTAACGTGTGTGTCGCTTTTCATGTTTACAGAATGGGCTAAGAATACTTCAGTGGGCCATTGTGGCTTTTAGTGAGTTATGAATGTGCTTATGTACAATGTGTCTCGTTTGGCAATATCAGCTCTCTGCCTTTGGTGCCTGACAAATACTATGCAAGAAAAAGAATTCCTTTTCCTTACTGGAGTGAGTGAGCCCTCCAGGAGCAGCAGTAAGTGGGTAGAAGCAGAATTAGTTTGCAGAATCAGGTCAGTGTTCATGGAGTTAATTTGCTCATGCCTTCAGATTGTTTTGTTTCCAGGGATTCTAAACCGTTGCCTCCAGCTGTTCATTTCCATTGACGAGGGTGATCTTTATCTGTCTAAACTAGTTAAATCCTGCTCCACTACCGGGCAGCTTTTTTTGGAGACAGCCCAATAAAGCTAAGTGCAGTGGCTGTGACACCAAAGCCTCCTGGACACCAGAAATTCCAAGCCCTACTTTTTTCTTCCTGACTCTCACTGTTGGAGTCCCTCCTGCTTAATGGGACTCTTCACTTCCTTCATTTAACCCTTGTCCAAATAGGGAAATGATAATTTGCATTGTAAGTGGCCAGTGAAAAATCCCTTTTAGACTAATTTACTACTTTAATATTATCAGATTAAGCCTTGACATAACCTCAAAGTACCATTTGAACAACTGAAGCACTGTTAGACTTGCACTTAGGCTCTGCTCCGTGCGCATGTTGCTTGGGATGGTTTAGTTGATACATAATTTTAAAATGTGCTCCACTGAAAGCTTGCTGTGATGTGCTGGGACTTGTAATACCTTCGAGGTCAGCATCGCATCTTCCTCTTCACACATCAGATCTGCAAGTTTCTGTCCTAAGCAGATGAGGTGCAGGTTTGTTGCGTTGATGAGAGAGCCACCAGATGTACCAAAGAATCTTCCCCTATGATGGATTTAAAGCAAAGATGGTGTCTGTACAACAAAGAACTGAAAACGGCAACAAAAGCTTCTGTTGTTGGTAACACCCCTACAGGGACCATAGCAGAATGTGTGCACTGATGTGAAAGTGCCTTCTCTTGCTGCGGGGGTTTCTCATAGCACAATATTTTGGCCTGTGCTGAGCAGGAGCACAAACACTACGGATGAAATGCTGATGGTCAGTTTGTACTTTAAGCTCTTCCTTCTGCTACTGCGGTTAACAGCAGTGGGAAAATCTGTGGCAAGAAGACCTCTTATAAAGACCCAGGCTGAGCTTTAATTTGGAATGTGCCAAGGAGACATTTTCTTATTGCTGCAGATGTTCTCATCCTTGCTGTCTGGGGAGTCAGACCCTGCTCTCTGCAGCAAACAGCTGGATCAGTTCAAATCCAAACCCCTGTGTCTATGTGAAAGGTTGTGTAGTCACTAAACCACCTCACAGCAATTATCAGAGTATCAGAGGAGGGAAAAGGTCTGAGGAAAAGACCAGTTTAACATGCCATTATAGGTCTTTAGCAGCTGTGTGTTATCCTATTGTTACTATTAACCTTTTTAACCTTGCAAGCAATGTTTTCTTGGCATCATTCAAGCATAATGACTGGGGGGTCAAATTCAGCTCTCAGTTGTGTAAATATGGGATGATTCTCTTGGCTGTCTGGTGTTATTTTGCATTTGGCTCATGGTTCTTGCCCCTAAAAGCCAGGCAGAGTATTCAGTCACAGTATTTCTTTGCATACCCAGTTGGTATGCAAAGCATAAAGTAAAGAGGTTTTTGAATTACTATCAAATCCATGCAATATAATTATGGCTTTATTGTCCTTTGGTTGAGGTGAATGGGTTAGTCCTTTATAAATGAGAACAGGAGTGTGCTTGTTACTTTTCACATGTAATTCCACCAGTAGATGATGATTGGAAACTCAGGAAAATGTGTTTTAAAAGGGGTTTTAAATAAAGAGAAAGAAATTCGATTTGGGTTAATAGAGAAAAAGAATCATTGAACAGAGTAGTTGTTGCTTGGAGTAAAGCTGTCAGAAGGCCCACCTTAATGGTGAGAAAGGGAGACCTTGGCGAATCTATGAGAAGGAAGTTGGAACTGCTGTTTCCCTTGCAGCCCCCCAAGATACAAGCTTGTAAGACTCTTAAGTAAGGTTCAGTAGTTTTATACGGTAAATAAATTTATCTTGATTTCATTATCTCTTTTCTAGCATGGTCTTTACAAAGTTCTCAGCAATGAAATGACTAACTGCACTTTTATTTTCAGGGATCTTCCAGATAATCCAGCTGTGGACTGGGACACACAGCTCCTTGCTGCCTTTGTGCTAAAGCATATAGAAGCCAATAACATCAACCTGGTAATGTGAAACTTTCTACAGCATAGGCAATTTCCACATTACTTTTGAGCTAGTGTTCTAGGTTTCTAATTCCCTCTGAAAGCTTTCTTTGAGGTCTTTACATTTGGGATTTTGCTTCTGACATCTGTGAAACAGTCTAGGATAGGGAGAGAGTGTAGTAGGGAGATCATTGTAGTGATCTTGAGGTTTGTTAATTGTAGCAGACCCTCTGAATAAGCCCAGCTGAATTTCAGGTCTAAAATGATACTTGAAAGCAAGTTTGCATTTTATAGTCTAAGACTTAGTGTGAGTATTCGTACAGCTCCTTTGTCCTGACAAGTAAGACATGATCATTCTGATCCTCTTCCAAACACTTCAAACAATTGCTACAAGTTCAAAACAAATAGAATTGCTCCACTGGACAATTAGGAAAAGGATGATGGTGTAATTCGGGTGGTTCTTTCCTCTCTGGAGATCTTTCATTGCTTCCAAGTGAGAAATGAACAGCAGAGGAATTTTGCTTCAACTAACTCCTCAGACGTTTTCTACATTTTAAAGCAACCATTTTGACCCTGTCACCAGGTTTCATTGATGAAGAGAGTCCATCTGGGATTTGGGTTTACATTTAGGCTTAGATTTGAAGTACATCGGTAGGCGTGTGTTACAGATTAGCAGGGATATAGGGCAGGACTGAAGAATATTAAACTGGGGAAATTTCCTAGCACTGGTATAGTTGTGGATTTTTTTTTCCCCGCAGAATAGGCGTAAGGACCTAAGCATGGAAAAGGTTGTGTTCTGTTCTTCTCTATTGACCCTTGCTGTGATCAGACATGTCACTGTCACACACTGACTAGCAGCAAAATCCCTAAACTCTTAAAGCCTTATAGCAATTCACAAAACAAGCTACATCTCCTGTAGCATGAGAAACCCATGAGCACAAAAGCCCAGCATCCTGCATCCAAGTTTGTATTGATTCTGAAGCTAATTTTCCATTAAATTCATTGTTGTGCACAGACAGATGCAGTTTTCCTGGACTCCTTTTGTGTCTTTTGTTCCCACGAATAGATAGGTTTTAATCTAATCTGAAAGCTCCTAACACAAGAGGATTTGTATTGCATGTTTGTGTTCTCATGGGCACTAGGACGAGTGCACCAGAATCCCAGCAGAAACTCTGAAAACACTAGAATTCCTCTAGATGATTTGAAAGCATTAGAATGTGGCCTCAGAGACAGAACATGCAGTCACTGGTGCTGTCTCTGCTGTGCTGCAGGGTCAATGTAGCTGCACTAACTGCAGCAGGACCCCACTGCCTTGCCCTCAGCACTTCCTTGATGAGCACTGAGGACATGTTACTATAGCAGAACACAGCAGCAGTGCCAGAAGTGCCTGAAGCAGCTTCTGGGGGATGGTGGTAATGAACTGCTCTGTGAACTTACATTATCTTAAGTGTCTCAAGTCCTCACACAGCTCTTTGATGTTTGCTAAAATACCATCCATTTAGGAGCAGGCCTAGTTTGCCAACAACAGCAAGGCAAGAGATTACCTTTGTTGAACATTCTGCATTTTAAAATTTCAGAGCTGGCTATCTCTTAGCCACTTTTGGAGCATCTCTGCTGTCCCAAGACAGTGGCCTTGCCTTGAGAAATAAACTGAGTTTATTTTTCAATAATGTTGAAACTGATAGAGTTGGTGTAACCTGTTAGAAGAGCCTTGTCAAAACGTAATCCGACAGGGTTTCAAGCACAACAAGCACTAACTCAGTGGAGCCAGTGTGATTGGAAGACATGTATTGTTTCAGCTATCCCAGTGGGAAAACTTTCCCTATTTCTCCCTGTAGTCATAGCATAGACAATGGTATCTTTTATTTACAGAATATATGTTTCATCTGGCAGTGGGGAAGCAGGCTGCAATTCCAACATATCTGAAAGGGAAGACTGCAAGGCAAGGAGTCACACCGTGTTACGCATAGTTTTGTTCCATTGCATAGTTACTCATTTCCTCAATTGCCCTGGAAGTCCATGAGTAACTCAATCTTTTTGTGAGCTATAGGGACATATTTCATCCAAGCTCTACATTAAATAATGCAGACGCAGAAATTAACAGTTGGTGTACTCAAAGCCAAAACTAATTTATAGACTTTGGAAATTATTTCCTGCCTTCTGGATTTATAAGCAAGAGCAGTGCTGCTGGGAGAGGCAGCCAGGGCTATTCTCTCTCCATCCAGATGAGAAAGTATTCTGTGTGTAAGGCTCTAGATTACAAAATCCTATTCTTCAGGATCTTGGGTTTTGGTGATAGCAGAGCTTGGATTAGGTGACATTCAGACTGTGTTTGGGGCAGATGTACTGCCAAGACCAGAATTCAGCAATACATGTTTGTACAAGCTGCTTTCCACTATGGATTGATGAAATCATCATCCATGCAAACTGTTTATGGGAGAGTTCTATTGTCTTGGGTCAGATCAAATCATCCAGACCTATCTACAAAAGGCATTCAAGTTGGAGTTTACATTTGAGAGGGTGCATTCAGCTTTGTTCTGGGTCTTGGTCTCTACACCCCTGAAATTCAAGAGCCTTTGAATATGTGGTGTTTGTAGAGGATTTTAAATGCTTTTGAAGAATACAAGATATAGAGTGCAGCATATGGAGTTTGCTAGAGGAGGCAACAGAGCTGGGACAGGCTTTGGCATCCCTTTTCCTCCCTTACTTATGTTACAGTCTCCTCAGGTGTGTTTTGGGGTACATGAACAGGAGGCTCCCAGAATCTTTCTAAGAGTTGGTGCGTAACTTACACACCTTTAGCTCAAACCTAGTAGACACTGTGATGTTGATCATGATTGGATTTTTCCATTTTCATGCAGCTGTACTTTCTTTTTAATCTTTAGCTTCTCTGATTTAGTAGCAACAAGAGACATCTCCAAATGCACAAGAGGCTCAGAGGACTTCTGGGTGTCTCTGGCCTCTGCATGAAGTGATGCTCAGAGGAAGGCATCACTTGATGAAAATGGAGTTGCTTGCTATGGCAGTTTATGGATGGCCCTTTTTAAAAAGGAAAGAGACCTTTCTAGCCCCAGCAGTCTACTCACAAACAGATGTGTCCTCTGAAACACAGTGAATGCCAGGAAGAGCAAGGGAGACCCACAGCTTTGTGTGCCTTTTTTTTTTCTGATGCACATGGTGTATAGCAGGAGCATGGACTCCAGACCTCTTGGAAGTTTCCTCTTCTGCTAGTAATTGAGTAAGTTCCTCTGTGCTCTCCCCTGTCCGGGAGGGATTTCTGGACCTGTTTGTCTTGGCTGTTGCTCTGGCTTGCACTAGTGAAAGCTCCATTTCCTGAATACCAAGGTCACCCAGAAGAAAACCCAGCAACACCGACAGCAGCAGCTCCCATTTCAGAGCAGGTGTGGGGAGGGAACTCCCTCTTGCCCTAAAGATTTCATTGAGTAATAATTTCCACATCAAGTATATTTACTATCCCAGCCTTTTGCTTCCAGAACTGGCTAAGCCTGTTTTTAACCCAGACAGTTTCAAGATGTTCAGGTTTTTTCATCCTGCCCTGAGTGTTTGCTTGGTTTCATCATCAGCCTGGTTGAGGTAATGGGTTAAAAGCAAGCACACCAGCTAGCTGCACCATGCTCCCGTGTGAAAGTATCTTCTGCATGTGAGAAAGAAATTCAGATCTGTTATCAATGAAATGAACCCCTGAAGCCAGAGGAATACATTTACATGTGATTCCTGACTGCTTCAAATCATGAGCACCATGGTGATGTTGTGGAATCAGTGTGTAAGACAGCAGACCTAGAAGCTACATACTGGATAAGTGGCACATCACTGCTGTCTCAGACCCAGCCAGTCAGTGTGTTGAGAAGGATCTCTAAAGGTGAAGGTCTAGTGTTTCAGAGGTGGTATATTTGCAGTTAAAGTGAATGCCACCATGGCCACTATTCAGATACCTTGGGAATTGTACTTCCAAATTTGTGTATTTGAAGAGATGGACAATTCAGCTGTAAATGTCCTAACAGTAAATTAGATGACAACTCCATGCAATCTCTAGCTACTTCAGATGTTAGGTAAGCCCAGCAGCGCTAAGAACAGCAGCTCCTATTTCAAAACAGATGTAGAGAAGGAGAACCTCCAGAGGTGTTTCTGACAGATCATTTCCTTGTCAGGAATGTTTCCTAACCCAGCCCCATGCTCCCACAGTTGGCCTGAGCCAGTTTTGTCAAAACAATGATTAGCTTATTTAGTCTGCTCACTGTAGTCTCTTATCTTGGTCTTCTGGTTTGTTCTCTTGTACCTCCATAGAAGGAAAAATGTGTGTTTTGGCTTGCCTGGGGTTTTGAGCTTGGTTTCCTAAGGAAACAAGAATAATGTAATTGTATTTATGTGTGTGCACATCATGTTTCAAAATACTTTAGAGCCCATTGGCTAATTTTAACCGCATTTGACAGCAGGGTAGTAGTCTTAAAAATGTTCTGTTTGTACAGATTACATGAAAATAAATGACCAGCAGAAGAGACAAACCCTCTCTCTGTCCCCATTTAGTAGAAAGGTTTAGTGCAAGTCCAGCCCTTGGCAGACTGTTACTGTTATTCACCTGCATAGGAATTTATTCTGCCTGCAGTGAGTGGGTTAATATTATCATCTTAGGGAAGTACCATTTTAGGTAGAAATTACTTCAGAGAATGTTTTTTCTTATCTGTAAAATACAGAGTGCACTGCTCATTTGTTCCCTGAGCTGTGCAGGATTTAATGATGTCTTTCCCAGATGAGCTACTCCAAAAGCTAATATCCTTAGGGGGAAGTTAGCACCATGCCAGGCCATGGCTGGCATGCTGTCCCTGCAGAGAGCCTCTCAGGTAATGCAGTTGTATAGCAAAAGTAGCCAAAGCTGAACACATAGTTTTTTCTCCTTATAAAATAGGGGTTGACCAGAAAATGCTTCTTTGTACCTGAACAAAACCAAACTGAGTCCCACCACTTCCTGCTAACCATGCATAACCCCACTGCTTTGTGGCAGCATTATTACAGCTGCTGGACAAAGCAGAGAGTCTAACTGGACTTGTCTTGGGTGGATGGGTTTATGAGCAGGCTGAGCTGGAGTTGGTGGGTTTGGAAGTATTTGTTATCACTGTCTTTGTGCTTCCTCTCCCTCTTTACACAATATCCCCTGTTTGAGAGGGCCTCTCCTGCTGGAGGGTGGAGTAGCACGTTGCAGGACGGGCAGGGCAGCTTTTGATCTTCCCTTGATCTTTAACCCAGTGCTTCAGGCCCTGCATATAAAACAGATTTTGAGAATGGAGCTGTGGTGAGTAAGCAAGGCAGTAGCATTTCCTTCCCTGAAGAGAGAACAAGCTGGCAAGGAAGCAAACATGGATTGAAATTTGGGGAGGTTATGATTTCTTCCTAGCCATGGAGAAGGGAGCTGTGGAGAGCTCTGCTGCTTGGCCTCTCCCAGAGCAAACATCTAACTTTATACTGTCCAAGGACTGTCACTTTTGCCTTCTGGAAAGCCTACCAGCACGTATACCCTGTCTGTTCTGTGCTTTATGCTGCCAGTTAGTCTTCTAGGTTGGAACTGGGAGCCTTTTAGTACTTGACAGTACTGTGCAGAGGGAGCCCTTGGGGTGGATGGTTCACCCCTGACACATCACTGGTAGGTCTGAGGGCAGGGAGCCAAGGATGTTCTGTGCTTTGGAGAGTGACTTGTTTAGTGCTGGGTTCACACATTACTTCTGCATTATGAAGTTCCCATTCCTCCCTCCAGAGAAGCAATAAACAATATGATCTTCTCATGCAGTGAAAAGCCCAGCTTAATGGTACAAAAAGCACAGTCAGCTGAATCTTTAAAAAAAGCTAATTCTCATATCGGAGTATTTTATCACTGTGTTATCCTGTGAGGAAGCCTCGTTGCAATCAGGACAATAGATTGTGTTGCTCTTGTTCAAGCAATCCATGGTACAACAAACTATAGTTCCACCCTGTAGTGCTCGGGCATTCTAGTATGTTCTCATATCCAGGAGAGAATGATTCAGAGAGCAGGACCTCTTGGGTCAGGAACAAGTTAGTAACAGATTGCTTTGAAAGTAACCTTTTGGCCTGGCAATAAGTACCAAGTGCATCCTGCCAGTGGGAACAGGGTATTTGTCATCTTTCTGTTGTTCAAGCTGTTGGACCATGTAGTCATCTAGGTCCAGAGAGTCTTGTTTGTTTAGTTGTATTTCTGTAGCATGAGTTCACACACAAGGCCTCATTGTGCAATACAAAAGCAACTCTCTGGATACAATGGTCTGGGACAGTGCTGTTTGAGATGTCAAAGTCGGTAACTGCACAGTTTCCTTCTTCAAAATGGTTATTGTTCTGTGGTTTTATTGCAGGTGGTAACCTTTGATGCAGGAGGAGTGAGTGGTCATGCAAACCACATTTCTCTTTACACTGCTTTAAGGTACAGTGTTCTGCATGCTTCACTGAATGCCTTGCTATAGTGTTACAAAGTGAACATGGTGTTTGGGTGTAAGCAGAAAGCTAATAGCTACAGCTAAAAGCAGTATGAAGTTCACTGATATAACTGAGCGGCAGGCTAGGGGACATGATACTGCTTGGAGAAACTCTTGCAGCCTTTGCAAATGACCTGCAGCATCCTTTATTATTCCATCTGCTGGGGCTTTGCCAGTCTTCCTTTCACTGGGCCCTCTCTGCTCTTCCTGTCCTTGATCCCACTAAAATATGCCACAGATCACATTGCACTTCTGGTTTGAGGAGAGTGTATGAATATCTGAGGCCTGAGCTGGTGGTAGTTGGATTTTGGAAAGTTCTACACCATTGTTCCAGAGGATCTTGCTGTCTTGTGCTGGTACCTGAATTTACCTCTCTGACCCAAGGATGTTGATCCTTCACTGAAGCTGTCTCCATTTACCACTCTTCCTAAGTCAGCTCGTTCCTTCACCACTTTGTTACATTCTGAGAACGTCTGTCCCTGTGCTGTGATCTGAAAGGCTGCTAGACAAAAATACCTTGTACTAATACCACCCAAATTTTGCAGAAGACAGCTACTGTGTTTTATTTTAACCCTGTGTGATAGAGATCTCCTCCAGAGCTGCCCCTGCCTTTCCCAGGCATGAGAAGAACTCTTTGCAAGTATATCTTGTATTTTTAGCACCCATTTGTTTTCTGAATCATCTGTGCAATTCCAATAATTCTCTGGCTCTCCTTGCTAACAGCATCACAGAGATTTGCCTTTCCTGCTTGCCTAGAGAAAGCTGCAGTGCCACAGAACCCATACTCTGACCTACAGAACTGCTCTGGGAAGATGCTGAAAGTCTTTGATGCTATCTGATGGCTGGAATTCAGTGTTAGAGGGGATCATGGCTTTTCCCAGCAACTTCTGAAATAGCCTCACAGAAGGCAAAGGGGTGGAGTTAAAGCAAACAGTGCTTGTTTGGACTAAGCAGGGAGATGCTTTCCAGCACAATGTTATTTGAGGAGTGAGGAACAGAGGTTGATGACCGATGCTCACCCCACTGGCACAGAGGGACCAGAGAGCTTTCAGATGTCTGGACTTCTGCTCAGTCAATTGCTGTATGTCCTGCAAATAGGAATGGAGGGTGGATTGTTAGGTGTCATGCTAAAGCCCTCTAATACAGGGAAAACAAGCTAGCAGCTGAATTATGTATGAGAAAGTTAAGGAAAACTCTCCATTTTGATCACAGCTCTACTGTTTTCTCACTTTGTGGCTGTGCAGAACTCACTTTCCTACCTCATGCTGCAGGTTGCCTGTGTGTGCTTGTAGGATGGTAAACCTCTTCTCAGAGTACGTTACTAGGAAGTATTCATTACCTGCAAGCCCCTTGAACTCAGACCTTTGCATTAGTCCTTAGCCTCCAGCAGAACATTGTCCTGGGTTGATGAAATACGTGCTGATAGGGACATCAAAGTATAAGCAGGGTCTCATTAACTAAGGGCTGGTTTGTGTCTTGTTTCCATCCCAGTCCTGAATCAGCAGAAATAAGCATGGTGGCCCAGTCATCTGCATGTGGCAGGAGTGATGCTGTGGCCACTGGAAGGCTAAATTTATTTTTAGTGACTTGCTTGCCCTCATTATTTTTCAGTTTGTTTTCTGGAGGAAGTAGAGCGTGACTGCATCACTCCTGATTTCCAGTGCCCTGATGAGTTCTCACATATTGGCCAGTACAGGCAGTGCTGGGAGCACATGCTGAGGCACCCCACATCCCTCCCTGCCAGCAGGGCTTTGCCAAGCAGTGGTTGCTGCCTCTGGGGCCCCACTGCTACATGGCAAGAAAAAAGCAAATGAACTCTCGCCTCCAGGTATTGTGTGCAATCTATTAGTAACCATCTTTAAACAAGATCTGCAGAGTTCTGCCTCCACTGTGGCTCTAAGTGGAAAGAATGAAGCAGAGGGATGGTGCAGTGATACTCAGCTCTTCTGGATGCTCCTAATCAGTGAGAGAATAGACTTGTGCCCACTACCTAAGTGACTGCTGTCTGCAAGAGCAGGGGTAGGACAGGCTCTGTGACCCATCCCACAGCTCCTTGCTTCAGAAGGTTCAAATTACTGAACAGCTTCAAGGAACAGAACAGTTCAGCCAGTGGTCATAGCTGAGCAGATGCTCAGTATTATCTGCTAAGGGCATAAGTATTCTTTCTAGTGTCTGGAACAGAGGTTATATTCAAAGGAGCAGGAACCATTCAGAACAAATGTGCCCTTTCCCTTGCAGCAACCTTCCTCCTGACAGCTTGCAGGGAGTCCAGCTGCTGCTGTGTGTCTGGGCTTCAGATCTGGGAGGAACTGTGAAATGCCAGGGTCTGAGGTTGGTTTTTCCTTCTGCAAGGGACAAATAAGAAAAAAAACAGGATGGGAGAAGAGCACAGATTGCTGTTTGATTTTAGTCTCTGCTGGGAGTGTTTCAGTTCTGGCTTCCAGATGGGGAAAAAAACCCAAAATCCCAAACCCAAGAAAATCCCGTTGTAGAAAAGGAGAATTGGAAGCAATCCTCTCTAGCTCTGCTTATTTCCTTGTCACCTTGACTTGGCAGCATCATTCTCTCCTATCCTCCAAAAGGCCAAGGGGGGCTGCATCCTTTACACATGTCTACAAGAAAAAGTAGGTCTTGAGTGACAGCAAGGTCACTTTACTCCCCTCTCAGCACTTGGCCAGTCACTGGGCACTACAGCAATAAGCATGGTAAACACTACGTGACAAGAATATTTGAGAACCTCTTTCCTGCACTTCGAAATGACAGTGTTTGCACAGAGATCACATGTAATATCTAGGTGGTTTAGTTTCGAATGAGTCATTGTGCATTTTTGATTTTAAGCAAGCCCTCTTGCCCAGTAGCCTGGCAAATGAGAGGCTAATTTTGTTGTTTGCTTGCTTGCCTAGGGGGAAGAGGAATGGTCTTTGTGAGGGGGGGAGGAAGGATTGTACCACTTTTTTTCTTCAGTGAGTTACCAAATCCATTTCATCCCAGCTAGAACAGAAAAGAATAGTCCTTGTCTGCTTAGGGCAGAGCGAACTGAGTGGAAAATAGGAGCTGCTATATTTAACCACTGTGCATTATGTTGTTATAGCAACTGCATCCATAAAACTTGTATCAGTGATGCCATATAAAAAAGCTACATCAAAGACTCATTAGCTGAGCCTATTCTCCTCAATTCCATTTGGAAAAACACTTCTCAGTCCTGCAGGATGTTTGTTAACATTCACCAACTCAGTGGCAGGTTGTAAATGAGACTGTGCAGACGTAATATTTGGGAGCTTAGTGCTTTATCACCCTTGAGCTGATTATGGTGCAGCTAGAGTGCCACCAATGCCTTGTTGCACTTACCTGTCACAGCCTGACTACTGAATGCCCCATTTATGAATGCCATGGGATGTAGCATGGAGCAGAAGGGTTGCACTGAGGCTCCTTGGAAGGGGAGGATTGATTAAATGCTGTTTTCCAAGACGTATATTGGAACAATGAACAGTGCATTGTCCAGCCCATGAACTCTGTGGGTAGAGTTCTCAAAAGCTACCAGGTGCATTACATCCCAACAAAGCCCAGCTGAATTTCCATGACCAGGTCTTTAACAATGTGTTGGGGAAGCTGGTTTGGGGGGGATTAGCAGTGAATGGTGTCCCATCTCACATTTTTATTTGGTGCCTTCTTACCGTGTGAAGGCTAGAATGGGTCTCTGATCTCTCACTCCAGCAGCTGTAGCCCATGCATTTCAAATGAATGATATCTCATTTATGTTTCTAAAGCAGGGTACTGGTTTTATTTCCTTTGCCTTTTCCCAGAAATTATTTCTCTACCTTGGAAAAGGATTTCCCGTGTTACTGACATGTTTGTTCAGGATTGTTTAGCCCCTGCTGAAGTTCTAGGTTCCCTGCAAAGTAGAGAGTTGAAGAAATAACAGGGTCCAGTATCTTATGTTTCAGCCTGTCCTGTCACAGTTCAGCTCACTTCTAGTACTTTGTTTTACTGATCTTAAATGTCCCAGGGGGAACTGAGGAGTGGTGGCTGTGACTGCACCCAAACTGCCCCCATAAGGCCAAGACAGAACAGTCCTCCTCCATTTACTCTGTCTTGAGATTCTGTCCCTTCCCCTCAGACAGTTGCCCCATGCCTGGCACACATCCAGTAGCTGGGTATGTTATCCTGGATTTTACCTCAGTACTTCACCCCTGCTCTCTCCTTTCCTTAATTTGATGAAGTTCAGTCAGTACCCTTCCATCATACTGTAGGGAGCCGTTATAAAGTCGAGCACAGGGCACCATCATTGGAGGGATTCCCCCCAAAGAATTTTTGTTCCCCAAATAAACAGCCTCAAGGGAAGTCCTTCCCATCCTCACTAGGCTACTAGTGGAGCAGTGGCACTGCATCTTCTCCCAGGCATTGCAGGGACAAAAGCAGAGAGCCATAGAGCAGCTCTGTCAACTGGAAGATCTCTGAATCACCACCTTCCTTTCTGACTGGCAGAACCATCTTTAGCCACTGCAATACACATGAGTACAGGGTGCCTGAATACTATTTTACAAACTGCATGTTGCTACATAGAGGAGTTCAGGGTGCATGGAAATGGAGCCAGAAAGTCCGGTTAGGGAGGGAGGAGGTATTCCAGATAGCAAACATTCAACATCTGGCAAGTATATCCTTCTAATGTCTCTGTGATTCCTGGGAGACTGACTGTTCTTCCTCCTTCACATCTGTTTCATCAGATTAATTGGGCAGATTAGAGGTTAGGATCCTAATGGAGCCCCAATGCATCTTTAAGACATCCATTCTTTGCCATGCTCTTCAGAATTGTATTTCCCCAGTGCTCTGCAGCAGCCAGCTCAGTCAGTTTAGTGAAGGGATTTGCCTTTGGCCGGGAATACTATTTGGAGAGTGAAGTCATTGATTTCAGTGAATAACTTCTCATCAAACAGAACATCACCAAAACTATAATCCACCCACCAGGGCGTCAGTCCCACTCCTTCTCCCCAGAGGAGTTCTGTGTTCCTCAGGACCGAATTTTCAGCTCCATCTTGACTTGTTCTTTTGTACCAGCGTGGGATGGTATCGGTGGTCAGTGCCTTTTAGGAACTTGCCCACTCTGCTGACATCTTCCCTTAAGAATGACTGAGTAAAGACAGGAAATTTGGGAACTAGCCCACTTCTGCAGTTTGCAGGATGAGGGTTGTTGGGCCGTTTCAGTTTTTATCCTGAGCAGATGTAGCCCATGGCTGCAGACAGCAAAAGCTTTTAAAGCAGCTGGTCCTTGAGGGAGGAGCTGGTGCCGAGTCCTTGCAGTGCAGAAATAGTGGGTGCCTTCAGACATCTCACAGCCTTTTGAAGCTCTTCATTGCAGAGGGTCTAGCTTTCCTTTAAATGTGGATCTGAACCTACCACAGGCATAATAAAGAGTGTGCAGTGAGAGGTACCCTGTAATAGCTGGCCTCTGGCACTTGGTGGGTAGGTGGGAGCAAGCCACTTGGATCACTTCATGTTTAAGAAGAATTTATAAAAAGTCTTCCCAGAAAAAAAACAACCAAAAAACAACAAAACCGCATGGAAATAGCTCCTGAAAAGGAGCCTGTTTGTGTTTGACTTTGAGATTTGATGCCAAACTCTTTCATTTCACCCAAACCACAGCAAGTCCAATCTATAAAACAACATTCCCAAAATGGCAACAACAGTGAGCTGCAACCTCTCCCCTACTTGGAAGTGTCCAATGGAGACGCCTCCAGCAGGCTGGAGATGGGAGATGAAGATTGATTTGGGAGAGCATTAGCCAGTTTTATGAACGTGTGCAGGAGGTAGAGTTTTGTGTTTCTTTCACTCTCTGCAGCCACAGTTCGTTGCCATCCCTTGCCTGAGCAATACAACAAGCAAGGCTGCAATTCCTCTGGAGCATTTCAGCTGGGTGGAGCCCATTCCCATAGCTCTGTGCTCAGCCTTGCCGAGTACTGAAGCACTTGGCTCAGGACAAAAAAGCATGAGGAAAGAATCAGTTTCCTTATGTCTGCTCTTCCAGATCAGTGACAGGTCTGCCTGGTAACAGCCTTGAGCACCTTTCAGTAACCAGAGTACAGTTTGTGTCTCCCTGAACCTTTATACAAGCACAGACTCCTGAATTTGCTCCTGCATCAAACTTCCCTGCTGAAGATGCTCTCTGATCCTGGTGAAACATTTCCATGTGGATCTCTGCTAGCTTCTGGTTCTAGTGGCCAGGAATGGTTATTATTAGCTCACTCGTGGAGCAGCTCTTCACATCCTCTAATGTGCTGTCGGTGCTTTGAAGGTCCCTCTATGGCAGAGCAGCACGCCCAGCATAGACACTAGGGCTTGGATAGTTGGCCAGATTTCACAGCCACTCACTGCTTTATCTCTCCAAGCTTGTTTTAAAAACTTCCCACCCTGCTAGCTGTACCAAGTGCTGAATCACTTCTTTGGGTGGCCAGATTGAAGTTGTGGGGGAAGAAACTTCTGGCAGAAGAGCAGAGCAGACATTAATGGAAACACTTAAACTTTCCTCCCCACCCCCCCACCTCCCCCCGAAAAATTGCTGGTAGTGTTTACAAGGCAACATTTAACAGTCTTTGACAGAACAGTGGGACTTGAGTAGTGGGGTAGAAGGTGGCCAAGTCAGTATTATAAGGCCATTGTTTAGTAGAAAAGGGTATTGCTTGCAGATCTTTGGCTCTGGAGAAGAAGAGATCATTGGCAGGAGAAGAATCTATTTGAGGCATATGTCTTCTGGTGGCTGAGTTCAGCCATGACCTGCATTTCTGGCTTGACTTTTGCTTTGAATTGCTTTGGGTATTCATTACTCTGTGCTTCCTATTTTGTCTACAACTGTGTAGCTAATCCTTTTCCTTGAACTTAACCAATAGCCAGAGATAATCCCAGTTTGAAAGTGACTGAGAAACAACAGTTTACTTATAATGTATGTTTTATCCTAGTTGATTTACACATGAACTGTCACATTGCCCCTCATTAAATACACCCCTATGAGATGATAACAATCTCTATAAATATTACACAGGGTTAAATAACTTTTTTTATTTTCTTTCTCCTTTTGGCAAATGTTCCATTGTTTGGATGTTTTTGTCTATGGAAGAGCTGGCCGGGGTGTGGGACAGCTTTGAGTGCCACCTGCTGGACCCTGGCTTCCTCCCATCCCCACCGTGGGCCAGATCTGGAGGCGATGCAAATGGTGATGTGAGCTTAAGTGTCCAAAGCCATGAACCAGAGTCTAGAGCAGGAAAAACGTGAGAATTAAAAAGGAATTGAAGCTAATACCTCTAATGCCTTCACCATATGAGGACATTTCCTTACACTTCTTGATGGAGGTACCATCACTGCTCACGTCTCCTGTGCTGGTCCTCTCAGTCTCTTTCCAAGGGATGCATTTTTGCTACAAAGACTTTATAGAATCATAGAGTGGTTTGAGTTGGAAGGCACCCTAAAGCTCGTCCAGTTCCAACCCTCTGCTGTGGGCAGGGACACCTTCCACTGGACCAGGTTGCTCCAAGCCCTGTCCAACCTGGCCTTGAACACTGCCAGGGATGGGGCAGCCACAGCTTCTCTGGGCACCCTGTGCCAGCGCCTCAGCACCCTCACAGGGAAGAGCTTCTGCCTAAGAGCTCATCTGAATCTCCCCTCTGTTAGTTTAAAACCATTACCCCTTGTTCACTCACTACATGCCCTTGTAAAAAGTCTCTCTCCAGGACAAAGTCATGAAAGGATCAAAGTCTTAGTGAGCTAAAGGTCAGAGCAGCTTCTCCAATGTCCCAGTGCCAGCAAAGGTTAGAAAGAAAAAAGCTGGTCCCCAAACAGGAGCTGCAGCTGAGGCAGTGTCCCTGGTCAGCAGACACAAGGCTTTGAAGAGCCTTGCCAAGGTGGCAACCTTTGGCAGCGTCTTGCAGTTTCCCTTAGTGCAACATGAGAAGTTTGAGAGTGAGTTGGATTTATGGAGCTTGTTTGTGCTCAGTCCCAGCAGCCAGGGTAAGGAAAGTAACAGCAGAATTGTGTGAGGAATGAGGCTTACGTTGCCTGACATGTGCATTCAGTGTCAGCTTCTGAACTTTCCAATAAGATTAGCTGTTGTAAATGTGTGTGTGTTACTAAGAGAAAAGGGTTGGTTTACCATAGAGAGTAAACTCGGGATCTGAATGACCTTACTGAGTGTTTACCCCATGTATCTTCATTCACAGGTACCTGCATTCAGAGCGGAAGTTACCTGAAGGTATGTGACATTGCTTCATGCCTGCAGGTTCTTGGATGTGTAATCCTTTACGTGAATGTTCTGTCCAGGCTTTCCTCTGCCTAACTCACATCTATTTGCAATGCAAATGAAACCTTCAGCTGAACTCTTCCTTGCCCTTTTATCTGCCTGCAGTTTTTCACCAGCTCAGGCTTTTCTGCAGTCACTTTTCTGTCCTTTGGGGTTGTCCTGTCCCTGCCTCTTGTTGTCTTGCATGCTCATGAGTGCTGTTTCCAGGTCTCTCAGCTCAGTCCCAGAGATTTCTCATGGGAGCTTTTGTGTATGTGTTACAAGGGCCTCAGAAATCATTACCAGCTCAGCCCAGAAAGGCTGCATGTACCAAGCTAAGCTACCACCAAAATGTAGTCAGTATGAGAAGGGTACCTGAAGTCTTCACTGGCACAACGAATTGTTGGAGTGGCTTCTCTCATGTGTAAACCAGCAAGTCTCTCTGAGAAACTGCACAAGTAACGAAAAGAAAGAAGCAAAGTACAGAAGCAGGTTGCTCCTGTCCCCCTTTTCTAGCTGCTGTCTCTGAGCAGATCTGTAGCCCTTATCTCTAGCAAACAGTGCCTGACTCAGGGACAAATTTGTGGAACTAGTTTAAGCACAAAGCTGGCAGCTGTTTGGACAACATAGGAAGGTGGCTCAACCAGGCCCACCCAGTCAACCTCCTGCTCCCTCAGCAGTCATCCAGGCTGTGATTCTTTACTGCTAATTCCTGAATCATTGTAGGATTTGCATGTGCCACAGCAAATCAGTTTTGATGCCTTGCTAGCAGCAAATTGCACACTCAGGTTTGATGGAGAGAGTGTAAGCCAAGATGGCAGAATGCCCTTTAACTGAGTTCTGACTCCAGCCTCTTCAATTCTCGCCATCTATGAAAGAGGAGTATTAATGTCAACTTCTTTCCTAGGACCTTTCCTTTATTCAGCTTTGGGATGCAGGAAAGAGCTCTGTGTGTGCTGTGTGTAGTACAGTGAAAGAATAAGGAACTGCAATGGTAGATGACACTGCTAGATGTCAGGCCTTGTCTAGACTGAACCACCTGCATATGCTGTTCATGCAGGTTTGTTAGATAAACTGTGGTCCAGAATATGGGCTGTGCCTCAGATTGGTTTATAGACATTTCCCTTTCTCTAGCAGCATCAAGAGACTCCTGAAGCTATGTGAAAGCTTTGCTGCTCTGATTACATCACATCTGACATGACCTACAAACGCCAAAGGAACGGGGAGCTCCCATGCTGCTGCTTACACTAAGCCTTTCCAAATATAGTTCCAGTCTCATTGAAATTCCCAGTATTTATAATTCGATCTGGCAGGCATGCAGGGCTGTGCATCTGAGGAGTTTAATGAAACAAGAGTGATGCTGGGATTGAGGCTGCCTGGATAGAGCTGAAAGCTGTGTTTAGGCCATGGAAATGTGCTGCTCTCCTGTTAGGAAGAAGGAATTGTTTGTGGGTGAGCTTGTGTAAGCCCACGTGATCAGGGAATCCACAAAAAGCCTCCCTGCAAATGCAAAAGCCAGCTAAGCCTTGCAGTGCCTCAGTGATATGCAAATGAGCACCCTAAATATCCTGCTTTGCTTTCTAATGCCTTTAGCCAGCATAAACACAACAGGCTTTTTATAATCTGTAATCAAGTTCTCCAGCCCAGGCACAAGCACAGAGGCTTGTTTTAAGATGCTGGACAGCTGCTGGTGTGCATCCACCCCTGCTACTGGCCCCATCCAGCTGCAACCAGTGCTCTTCCAAAAGAATAGGTATGTTAACGTCTGTCAGGAGCAGGGCAAGCTTTTAGCACCCACAGATCTGCTACTGATCTTCTCATTCTAGGCATGCTTGCTGCATAAGTGATTTGGAAGTAGAAAACCAAGCTGAACAGGCTGCATGCGCCATGCTCTTCTATTCTGGGCCTAATCCACTAGCTATATTGATCTTGCCCTTTCTGCCAACCTAGAGAGGTTGTATTACACTGTTAATCCCATCCTGCCCAGGTCACAGTCACAACAGGCTCTGAGAAGCTTCACCTGCTGGTGTCACAGGACTAGACTCATCAATGACAGCACTTCTCTTACCCTGCCTGGCAGGGAGCAGCCTGCTTCTCTGAACCCTTTTCCATCTCTCCCTGGACTGTACATTCCTTCCTTGCTTCACTTCATCTCATGTTCCCATGTGGAACAGCCTTTCTGTCAGCATGTGGAGATGCTTGTCATATCACTGACACAGAACACTCTTAGAGTGCCCTTAATTTTGTGAGGCTGGAATGCTATTGCCTCGCCTGAGCTGACCGATGGAGCTCAGGAGGTCAGACTGAACAGTGAAATCACCTGCAGTTGTTTTGAGCTATTGTTGCTGAGCCAGGCTCCATTAACAATTGCCCCATGCTTGCTCTAGCTGTGTCCTCTCCAGTAAGCACTAAAAAGCAAACAGGTGGATAGTGGGAATGCTGACTGCAAGAGGAAGGGATCTGTATCTATTCTGCTTCTGTGCCAGTGTCATACCTCGGTAATTCTTCTCTGAAACTACCCACCAACATATCGGACCGGCTGAGCAGCCCAGGGGATCTGTGCAGAGGAGGGAAGAGTGGTTCCTCTGCTCCTTGCACATCACAAACTTGCTTCTGAGTTTTCTACTTGGAAATAAGAAACATCTTCAGTGGGAGTAATAGAACTGTCTGGGCACTTTGTGTGCAACTACAACGCTTGTCGCTGCAGAGCATCCTCTGCAATAGCAAGATGAAACCTTAGGGCAGCCAACCAGCAACTGCTCGTCTGTCACTTGTCAATGAGGACCATGGGCGAGATGGGAGCTCAGGCTCACAGTCAGGAAGTGGCACAGGCCATGCTAGTCACACAGCTGCCAGCATTCCCGCACGTCCCCCCAGAGAGCTTGGCAGAGCCATTGCTCCTTCCAGATGGCACCGCACAGCTGCTGCTCTGCGGGGACAGGCACCATGACCTTGCAAGGGTTGGATGGCTGACCTGCAGTAGGACACGATACTGACACGGATAAGACAGGAGGGTCTTCAACGTAGAGGGGTGCCAAAAGTGATCTCAGCCTGATCCCAGTCTAGGCAAGCGAAGAAGCTGCGGGTCCTGGCTGCCCCGCTGCTGGCGGACACCGCCATCTCCTGGCAGGCCGGGCCTGCAGCAAGTCTCCAGCAGTTGCAGGACGGCTTTTCCTCTGCTTCCCGGCACAGCGCAGACTCGTGCCAGAGTCTGGCCGGATGGAAGTGCCAGTGATGTTTGCTTCTGCCCCTGTCCTGGAGACTCTTTTCCCTTAGCAGGACACAAGTCCTGCCTACATATTAGGGCCAAGAGGCGTCTGAGCACCACCAGTTTGCTTTGTGCTCAGGACGTAACAGCTTTAGCAGTGTTAGATGTGAGCACAGCAATTAGCTTCTGAGTTCAAAGGGCTCTTTAAAACAGAAAATTCCACCCACTAGAATCTTTATGCATGTTACCTTCATCTGCTTAATCACAAACATTGAACAGTGAGTTCTGGAGCTCTGCTAAAGTGTAACAGCCTAAGTTAATATTTGATACAGCCATTCCTGAATCTTGTGGGTATTTTTTCTGTAGCTAAGAATTGGAGAAAAAGAGGAATTTTTTATTTTTTTTTTTTTTTTGTAGCTGAACCAGAAACTGCTGTTTGAAATTTCCATGATATGATAAGTGCCAGTACTCAGAGTCAGCTCTGCTTTTCCTTTGAGTCTAACTACATAGGAATAATTGAAATTATAAGAAAAAAAAGAAAACATGCAACAAAAAACCACCAAAAACCCCAAACCAACCCAACCCCTCTGGTATTCAAAGCTAGTGTTGTTTTCTATAGACCATGTACACAGCAAGATCCAGCACAAACGCTCATAGATGTGCATAGATGTTCCCTTTGGTACAGAAAGGATCCCCATGGCCAGCAGTACAGGGCAGGGTTCAGAGACCTGCTGAGCCTACAACAGTACTGTTGTTCTGAAGTATTTATCCTCTTTTTGTGTCTAGGGTGCAGTGTGCTCGTGCTGGAATCAGTCAGTATCTTCCGGAAGTACATCTCCATCCTGGATGTACCCATTTCCTACCTCCTGCCCAGTGATGCACTCTTCATACTCACAGAGGAGGAGACTGAACAAGCCAAGGTGAGACGTGGTACCTGTTTCACACAGGTATCTCGCACATTTAGTGCACAGTCCCATATATCGGAATCTGATTAGCTCCCCTTCCATAGCATTAAAGTATTTTCCCAGCAGACAGTCCTGTTAATCCACAAATGACAGAACTTTCCTGCTTTTGAGGCTGCTAAAAGATAGAGTTACATATGGAAACTGCTCTGATAAAGGCAGTGTTATTCCCTTGTGGGTTTTGTTTCTGACATGTGACCTTTCTAAGCCGTGTACTATAAATAGATTAAGTTTCAGCTGGCAGTGTGTGATCGGAAGCAGCATGCAAAGTGTTCTCAGATGCACACCTATCAGGTTTCTGCCTCCCCAGCATGTGAACACCCAGGCGTGAGATCACATAGGGAGGAGGAGTTACATGTGACAAAGGAACTGTCACAGCACCAACCTGCAGCTGATAATCTCCTTTCTAGTAAGACCCCTCTGAACATTAGGCAGCACCACACCAGCAACATAGGGGTGGAGAGGGCTCTCCCCACTCTTTAACCCCGTAAAGTAGACAGCCTTCTACTTCCCACTACTTCTTCCCTACTATTCACTGAACACAGGCTGTCCTATAAGCTGGCAGTGAACCTCACAGGAGGCCTAGGAAACTGCCTTCATGTTAGGTCTGGAAGGTTCTTGTAATGCTTTCTCAACTGTTCTTCCTTCTAGAGAGCAATGAGGTGTCATCGCAGCCAGCTCCTCTGGTTTCGCCACATCTATATGCTCTTCTCACGTTATATGGTGATCAACTCACTGCGCCTTCTGTAACAGGGACAACTTCAGGAGTAAGAGAATGAGTGAAAAAAAGACCAGGCCAGACCTAGGACTAATTCAAGCTCACCTGTGATGTGATGAAGAGGATGGGATTCTCTTTGTGTAACGTTTGTTCAGACTACAAAAACCAGACTGTGTAAACTTCCTTCTGAATATCTTGTTGCCTGATACATTGAGATGAACTCACTGTTGAAGCTGAAACAGAGTAAAAAATTGGGACTAACCTAATACAGTATCCTGCATTAGAGAAGATATGGCACAAATTGTTACTCCGCAGGAGGATACAGCTGTGAGGACTGCTTGGCAACTGTTTCTTCGTGCTTTTGTAGAATCCAGGTATCAGGAGTAACTTCAAAAGCCATGCTATCTCCAGAGATTAAACTAGAACCACCAGACCTGTCTTACTCAGACTGAACTTTAAAAAGCCAAAGCTTATGAATAAAACATCAGAAATCACACAAATTTCTCTGGTTGCACTTATCTTTACTGCTAATGCTGCTTCTTTTGTACACATTGTGTTGCAGGCTCCACCTTTGCAGTGCCACTCATGCAACATGAGCATTTCTTGCTTCAGAATATGGGGCTCACAAGAGTCTCAATGGACCTAAGAATGATGTGCAAGAGTAACTGTAACTAGGTCTTTTATAGAACAGAGATAAACAATGCAAGAGATGTTTCAAAAGCTGTTCTACTTCTGTAAGAGAGAAGTGCAGATCCTCTCCCTTTATGTTAAAGGTAAGTGAAGCAGCTTTCAGTGATTTTGTTTCTTAGCCTACTAGTGATTTGGGTTTACATGGGGTCATTGTGCAGCAAAGTCAGCAGTACTCAACATTTCTGTAGGCCTTTGCACTCATTCATGCAGGCTCACGTCTGCAGGAAGCATCTTTCCTGGATCTACACACCTTGTTATTGCATAGTTAAGATCACAGCCCAAATGGCCAGATCCTGATCTGCTGCTGTGAGCACATCCTCCTCCTGAGATAGCAAACGGGTTCCTGGTTGTACTGAAGTACATGCACATTGTATGACAGTGTTGAACAGTTCCCTGGCCATGAGTCAGTGCCTAAGCATATGCCTAGTCAGCCTTAAGACCATGAGTAAGTCCAGGCTTAGGCAAAACAGTGCTTAATCGCATGAATAACTTCAGTGGCCTCTCTCTTGCATACCTGTGTAATGCTTTACTGAACCTGAGCCTGTGCTTTACTGAACTTGAGCCTTCTAAGCTCTTTCAAATCACTTTTAGATACATGGTCAGTTCATTAAAGTCAAGGGAGAAAAGTCAATGTATGTTAGCATTATGTCCTAAGCAAGAGATTATCTTACATAGGATGTTTTCATCAGGCAGACTTGAAACACAGGAAAGATCCATGCAAGCAAAGATTAATTTTTTTTTTCATTGTATTTTTGTGCTCTGTTTATTATGATTTAAACTTCAGCACAGCTAAGGACAAAGTATCAAAACAGCAGCCCTGGGCTTTATGGAAAGGAAGTAGTTTTAAAATTGAAAGTCACAGCTGAATGGGACAGGCAGCATAGAAAGATTTATTTAAGAAACAGAAAACAGATAGCAATAATGCAGAGACTTATTTTGCTTCACCCAGGAAAGCCCAGGCTACAGTTCCACAGCAATGCCCCAGCATCAGCTGCTGGAAGAGTGTGTCAGGGTTTTGACATGTCTCTGATGGTCTTGTGTTCCTTCACAGCCTTCTCCCATTCCTTGCCATTGATATCCTCTGTGACAATGGTCTGCACGGTGCCCTCATCCAGACAATGGGGAGCTATTCCTGAAGAAAGACAGAGTACATAGAAACCTGCATCCACATCCTGTGTGGGAGATGCCTGCACTGCTCTGGATGGGGCTTCTCAGGGAATGCTAAATGCTCAGTCCAGCTATTGCTGTACATCTGAGGAGCCTAGATGGGAAGAAGCCCACACAGCAATAGGTAAGACTTACGGAGGAGCTACAGGTTCAGACTGCAGTTCCACATGCTTAGTACTTTAGGAACAAACTCTTATGCTGCTCACTGCTGTCATGTTAGCATCCAATGGAGTCTTTACCCAAGGTTACCTTGATGGTTACCTTTGCTTACCACAGCTTTCTCTTTCTACCTACCATAACCATCTGGATTAGAACGAGGAGTATAAAAGCTCTGCACACCACAGGTCTTGCAGAATGTGTGCTGGGCACTACGGGTGTTGAAGGTGTATGTTGTCAAATTATCGGCACCCTGAGCAAAATGAAAAGCAGTGTAAGTGTTCCAGACAAGCAGAGGTACTAATTTCTTTCTACGGGTCTGTAGCTAAGGAATGTAAAATCTAAGATACCAACTTTGTGTCTTTACTTGAGATGAGTTCTGTATTCATGCTCCTTTTCTGAACCCCTGTGTATATAGACGTGTCCGTAACAGTCAATTCTGAGAACTGCAAGAGCTGTGAAATCAGCTCACTAAGTAAGATGCACACACCCACACCAGACAGCATTAAAATTCAGCTGTTTCCCCCAACCAGCCATAGACAAACTTAGGATAGAAAACTGGCTGCCACTTGCATCTTTGATGATGACACTGGCTTATCCTACTCATATTCACAGACATGGTCTTACTGCATTCTTACTCTACCTTCAGCAGCTTGAAGCGCGGTGCTGGGACAATGAAGTGTCTGTTCTGTTTCTTTGTGCAAATGCTGCAACTGTAAAGGAAAAAAGAGACCTTTCTAGAAGCAGTGGACAAGTTGTGGACTACAGTCAGATCTGTCACGGACTTCTGGACAACAGAAATTCCACTGACAGCTAAAATGGCTCCTGGAAGTATCACAGGTAAGCAGCAACAGTGGACTTGTATCAGTAGTGTTTGGCTAAGTGCACCCACTTAGACTGACCCTACATGGGTACACCAACAAGGTGTTCCCTTACCCCAAACATCAGATGCCATTTTTGATTCACATACACAATTTCAACAGCCATAACAAGGCTCTAGGCCTGAGAAACTCCTTTAATCTTTCAGAGCTGACTTGGCCAGTTTTGCCACCATGAATTATTTTGCAGACAAGAAGGAAAGGGTCAGAAGTTTACTCGTGTGTTAGAAGCAAACTGCCTGCAGGCAAAGGTGGATTACTGCTGAAATTGGACCATGTTGTAGTTTGAGGCACATGTGGTCAGAGATGTCATGTTAATGTTAAAACAGGATTGATGTGCTCTGAGCACACTTGCACTCAGAAGAAACATAAAGCAGGCAGCTCAGTCCCTGTATTTGTAGATCCCTCCTGAGCAGTGAGCAGGGCTGTGAGACCAGAACTGCCCAAAGAAGTAGCACCTGATCCCATACTGGATCAGGACATAATCAGGGGGTATACCCTATAGGAACAGCTCAAAGCAGTTGTGTCATCTTCTAGCTGTAAGGTGTTGACTGGAAAAGCAAGCGCATGAGCTTATATTCATCCATGAGAATAGGGAGCACATAAAACACTCACTTGCAGTTGAAAACATGCAGATCTGCTGAAGCCCAGACCTCAAAGCGGACTGCTCCACAGTGACAGCCTCCAGTGTGTTTGACCAAACCCCGATATTCACTGGAGAGGGAAACAACAGAGATGTTTTCTCAAGGTAATTTTTGGGGGTTTTGTCCAAGAAAACAGTAAGGTTTATGCTGCATGATTCAGTTCAGCTTTGAGCAATTGCAGAACACCAGAAAACATCCACCCTGATATGTTTTAATAAAATGTCCCAGAATGACATAGATGATGACTTTGGTCCTCTGTGGCAATGGCTCTTCTGGTTTAATTAAAATAGTGCAAAGGGAAGAAGAGCAGTAGTTCAAGGAAAATGCACTCCACATGCAAAAGAACACATGTGCTGTCCTGCCAGACACCATGGCAAAATGCTGACCCGGAGTCCGTGCAAAACTGCCACAAGGAGCTGAGTCTCCCCATAATTACCCCACAAGTGCTCCAGCACCACCAAAATTCCTCCATTTAAAATCTGGGGAAAACAGAGATTCTACATAGTATCTGAAATGCATTTTGTTGGGTCCTGTAATTGCAGAGGAAATTCGTGGTCAAGGAATTTCCAAGCTTGTGCTTTTTCCTTTCCCCCAGCCGCCTCCCTCGCCCCTGGGCATCGCCGCCAGCCCAGCTCCAGTGCAACATGAGACTGAGAAACCTTTTCCTTTCGGATTTTCACTCCCCCGGTCCATTACTGATTACAGCGCAGAGGCACTGGGTAGTGCTCTGGAAGGAGCGAGCACAGAAAGGGGTGGAGATGTAGCAGCTGAGCCTCAACATCCCGCGCGGTGCCCCTGAGGGCATTTCTGATGAGAGAGCCCAAAAGCACAGGGAGCTTTAGCAGAAAACGCCGCTTTCTCCGCGGTGCCTGCGCCCCCGCGCTCCTCACACACAAACCCCTCCCTCCCCTCTGCAGCTCTCCAGATGCCGTGTTTAGTGCTGTGCTGCCGGGAGGTCAGTGATGTGGCGGGGCACCGACCGCCGTCCGGCCCGTACTCACAAGGCATCCAGCAGCAGCCGCGCCGCCTCCTCGCAGCTCAGCCGGTGCCGCTCCTGGAACGCGGCCCAGCGCCCGCGCTGCTCCCCGAGATCGAAGTCTCCGGGCGCCGGGGGCTGTTCCTGCGGCCCCGGACCGGCCGGGGCACTGACCGCCGCCTTCCCGCGGCTGCTGGGGGCCGAGCCCGCTGAGGGGCTGGCGGCGGCGCTGCCCCGCCGGGACCGCCGAGAGCTGGCCGCCCTGAGCCGCCCCATGAGCTGCGGAGACGGCGCGCACCGCGCCCGCCAGGGGGCGCCGCAACGCCGCGCAGCGTGACCGGGAGGGGCACCGAGGAGAGGGACTGGCCTGACAAGGGGCAGATTTAGATTAGATACTAGGCACTAGTTCTTCCCTGTGAGGGTGCTGAGGCGCTGGCACAGGGTGCCCAGAGAAGCTGTGGTTGCCCCATCCCTGGCAGTGTTCAAGGCCAGGTTGGACACAGGGGCCTGGAGCAAGCTGCTCTAGTGGAAGGTGTCCCTGCCTGTGGCAGGGGTTAGAACTGGATGAGCTGTAAGGTCCCTTCTAGCACAAACCGCTCTGTGATTCTGTGACTGGAAGTGCACTGCTGCACATCCCTTCTACGTGCCCACCCTTGGCTAGGAATAAGACTGCTGGTGAACAGTACTGTGGTGCATCAGGATGGGCCTTCAAAAGTGTGGTTAGTCCCTCCTAAAATTGGAAATAATTACTGAAGCTTTGCAGACAAACAAGTTCTAACATGATTCCCACTAGATGACCTTTCACAAATTCTGTCATCAAAGTCTTAAAAAGGAAACCAAACAAGATCATAGAATCATAGGGTAGTTTAGGTTAGATAGTGCATATCATTAAAACAATTAAACAAACAAATAAAAACCATCCCACTTCCCCCCAAAAAAACAGCTTAGGAAAACAGAAAGCTCTCCTCTAGTGGTAAATATCTTAGAAAAGGTTATTCTTGAACATCTAGAAGACAATGCTGCTTCTCAAGTAAAATTGTTCAATGCAGGGGAAAACCACAAAACTTGTAGTGTCCAAGTCACATTTGGTTGGGGGGAAAAAACTCCATCACTCCAAGGATGAGGCTTTGTGCCCAGCACTGGGAATTTCAACAGAACTGAATGTCTTGCTCTTCTCAGGAAGGGGAACAGGGAAAGCTGTCAACATGTGAGCTGACAGCTGGTTGTGGGGTGGAAGAGGCACTGACGGGTCATGTCTCAGCCAGGAATACAGCAAAGCAACTGGACAGCAATGAATGAAGCAGCATCAGGTCTGGATAACAGCTTTAAAAACGTACAACTGCAGTGTGTAGGCTGCCTCCTGAGATGGCACATACCAGGACTCACGTAACCACCCTGTCATTCAGCACCTCTCTTCTGATGACAGGAAAGGTGCTGAGCTACAATTTCCTGTTATTCCTCATGTGAACCTCTGTTCTGGTTACTCATCCTTATGGAACTGTTTTAATATGCTGTATGTGACAAATCCTGGCCCACGCCAGCATGTTTATCTGTAGCTCCTGAACTGGGCCACTCCCAGACCTTTAGTCACCCTAAAGTTCATGTTAGTCACCTTATATTTTGGGAAGAAAAGTCACTGAGGTGAAACTGGAGACTATGAGCTGAAACTGAGCCTGTGCAGTTTGCATCATGGAGTCATGTGCTGTCAGTGCAGGGTATGGCAGTTTCAAGTTTGAGCCTACATGGTCAGTCCTTTCCTAAAACCACTAAACTGCACTGAACTGAAAGAACATATTTGAGGAGTTCATTAGCAATCAGCTCACACAAATTACCTCCTCTCTGCAATACAGGAGACACTGGCACTTGTATGCTCTCAAAAAGCAGTTCCAGTGGCAAAACTGATGCGCAGGCTATGTCATAGCTGCAAAACTATCCCTCTCTGCTCCTGTGCAATTAGTTCAGCATGTTTTAAATGTAGAAAGCATTCTGAGAAGCTGAATTCTGTTCCCACTGTAACATTTCAGGATAAAGAACTAGGAGACAGAAATGGAAGAACAAAATGCAGCTTTGTTTCAGAAGGCTGCAGTAAAGAAATTCTTTCTGCTTTTTTATTTGTATCATATTTTATTACAAAGGACTCTTAGAGCTCAAAACTGGGTCTCACATAAATAACCAGTTCAAGAGCTTTATAGGGGATCTCTGGCTGATGACAAATTTCACTGGTATTTGGATTTACAAGCCCTGCATTTCAGTGGTTGCATATGGTATTGTTGGTGTACCTGGGGGGTCGGTGTTACCCAGTGCCTGAAGAGTCAATAGCTTTCCTGGTACATTACTTCCAAATCTGATGCAATGTTTGCCATACTTCAGTAGAAGTCAGTAGCTCGATGAAGAATGGCTGTGGAGAAGGAAGCATTCAGAAAGATGAGGAAAAGTCCAGTAAGTCAGTTTGTTTTCTTTAGGTATCTTGTGATACTAGAGTTCAACAGCTGACGTGGTTTAATGTTAAAGTACAAAGGTGTTTTTCCCTGCCAGCCCAGCCCTGCTTGTATAACAATGACTCAGCTCTGCAGAGCTGGCTTGCAGCCTGCATTGAGATTCTGTCTGCAAGGGCATTTTCATTGCAAAGGCAGCTACATGTTTGTGGGTTAAAGAGAACTGGTTACTGTCAATGCTTTTCATCTAGTAAGCAGGGAACTAGAAGTAGTGTATAGCTCACACCACATTTCACAGAACTGAAGTAGTTAAAACTGCATAGTTTGTGAAGGGGAGAAAAATGTCAGTGCTTGGATTTTAGTCTTCCTGTTGAGGAGGAAGAATTCTGCACATTCCCCTCCCCATCAAGGGATCTAGGCTGGATCTGAAAACAGAATACAGGTTATCAGCTCTAGGCCACTGGATGGAGGCTATTCAGACTGGCCTTGGCAGTATTGGTTTTTTCTTCACTGTCACAGAGGTTCTGTTGAAACACACCGATAATGATTAACAGTGGGTTAAGACTTATTTCTTCTGTCTTTTTGTTGTTGTTTTTTTTCAAGGTGCTTCTTTGCTATCCTGCTAAAAAACCCCACCCTAGAAACCACATGCTCAGTGGGCTCAGATGCAGCAGAGGGAATGTGAACAAAGAGAGCTCCTTCACTGCAGTGCAGCTTGGATCAGATCCAGAAGACTCGCAGCCAGGAGGCAGACTGGAAAAAAAAGATGCAGACAAGTAATTTTTAGAGTAGAACTTATTATTGCTTGTTGCTTTCACTGGTGTGACATGCAGACACAAACCTGTGATGGCATCTTCATAAAATGCTCTTTAGAAGTCTCCTCACATCGACAGCATAGATAATTGCCACATGTCCCTTGGGGTCATTTAGACCTACAGAGAAAGACGTGCCCAAGCCTATTTACTGTGGCAGCATCTTATGTGTCCTGCAAACAAACAAGGTAACAGAGGAGTATTGCTGACTCTTCTCTTTTTACTACAAATCTGGATATCTGTTTGTTTTTCTTAAGCTTTCATTTCCTGAAGTTGGTAGCTTATTAAAAGCTTTGTTTATTTAAGGTATTTTTAGCATAAGGCTTAAAAAACAAATCTCAGATAGTTGTCTTTTTTTGGTAATCTCATAATATTACACTCAAGCTCACAGTACTTTGGCTTGTGACTCACTATTTTTGTAACCCTTGAGCTTGGCAGGACAAGGACAAGCAGTAACATGCCACAGCCCTGTTTGTCTTGTGCCTGGAACTTCAGCAAAGATCAGGCTTTATTGCAGAGATACAGGTTTGGGAAGAAAATATTTATCTCCACAACTGTAAATAGATAAATATAATTATCTGGTGTCATACACAGTGAGAGACGTCTGAGGTAGGTAATATTATAAGAATATACATTGTGGGTTTTTTTCCCTGTGGCAAGTAGCCCTATTTTTATCTGAATAAAGGGAAAGAACTGAGCTGGCTGCACATACACACATCGCCTGACCAGCCGGCTGTCCCAACTTAAAGCCTTGTACTAAAGATAAACAGATTGCTTCATTTGACATTGCTGACTTAGAAATGATACATAGTTGCTAAGACATTAGTGTACTTAAAACCCAGACCCAGCTTGTGTTCTAGAATGTTACAGATTTGTTGGAAACATTTCTTTGACCTCCAGATGCTTCTCTTCCGAAAGTAGGTTGCTTTGTAACAGTGCCCAATGACCTACTTTTGAAACCACTTGGAAAGAAATAGGTTGTTTCCAACTGCAGGCCGCTGGCACCACCTGTGCAGTCAGGCCAGTCACAAGATCATTTCTGTTTTATTGATCTTTGCATTTCTTTATATACAGTTCACATTCAGCTGCTTGATGATTCTTACTCACCAAGAGCTACATAGTGGTGTGTACTTTAAATATATAGACTTTGTATTTATGTTGTATAACCACAACATAAACAGATCTCCTGTGTTCAGATCTCCATAAACAGATCTCCTCCTATCAAATTCAGGTAATAAAATACTTCCTAAAGAAATTCTGAGGTAAAGCTGAAATTCAGTAAAACAAAGTCACCAGGGCATCACCTCCAGCCTGGGAGATTGTTCTGTACACATAATGTGTGAAAATAAGGCAGAATCTGGCCCACAATATAGAAACAGTGCATTCTGACTTTAAAAAGAAGTAGCTTTCAATTGGTAATAATTATCTTTGAAGTAGTGTTAAGGAATCCATGCAGATACTAGGTGTGAAGCATTCAGGGCGTGAGTTTACTACACAGAAAATATCAAGGGACAGAAAAAGAGTCATTTAAGCAGCTTTCTGTATTCAGCCCACCCCCTACCCAGAAACAAAAGAGGTGGGCTCCATACAGGCATGTAGATGGCTACTGAAGATTCATAATTAGGAGAATTAAACGAATCCAATCAGTAGAGGCTGCAGAATGGTGGCCTGTGTGGAGTACACTGCCTGCAGGCTGTGGAGATTAGTTTAATTCTGCTGGGCCCAGGAGATGCATGCACAAAGCCTGGCTCTTTGTTTATCTCTTTTGACAGAGGGATAACTGAGGAAAATAATGAGGCTTTTTACATGGAATTGATGAATTTAAACCATAATCGTCTAAAAGTACGAGCTTGTGTTTAATGTCAGCATGTTGCTGCCTGCGCTTGCTTGGGATAACGTCATTTCCCTGAAGAATGAATTTTTCAGGAGCCATTATTAAGAAGGTATTTAAACAATTACCCATGGCAGGCCCATCTGGTGGGAGTTTATTCTGATCTGTTGATTTGAATACTTACACAGAAACAGAACAACCATACTGAAAGCAGATTGGTCATAGGATACTTGGAAAAAATAGCCATACTTGGAAAAAATACAAGGGAAAGCTCCTGTGTTTTCTGGTTTACACAGAAGGGGGAAAAAAAAGACAGAAATTTCTCTTTCTCCTTCTCCATCTAGAGGAACATTAAAAAGCAAAGACCTGCACACTAAAAACCTTAATACAAGTCTGATATGCTGAAACACAGGCCAGACTTTTTCGCCTGTTAATCTCCAGTTTAACACAGGCAAAATGTGGCCTTTCACATTTGTAAGTTTTAGTCACTCTGGCCCTCCTCTCAGGACTCCATGATCTTGTTTGGCTTTGGAAAGTGATTCCTGGAGCAATGCGTGGGACAGACAGGATATGCAGGCCAGCCGTGGAACAAGCCTTTAGTCACCCTCGCACCAGGCAAACAAAACAAAGGTATTGGAAACACTGAGCAAAAATGGCAGCATAAAGAAAACAAATGTGCTATTGCCTAAATCTGATACTGCTTTCTATCTTAAATTTATGTCACTGGATAGTATTCCCAAGGTTGGTTATTGCATGGAGCCGTCTCTAAACTTTGCAGTTAACCATTTTCCCCTCTTCCTGTGAATACATTGTGAATAATTATTCTTGGGATGATTTATTCCTTTTTACTGCAAACCAGGAGGTATTAGCAGACACAAGCCCTGTTAGGAGAAAGGAAAACAAAGGTTTGTTGTTGTTGTTACGGGGTTTTTAGTGGGTTTGGTTGTGTTTTAGGTTTTATTAAGGGGAAAACAAAGTAGCTGTGTACTGAATATTGCCATTCACACACGTGCTTATGCTTTGTGAGTGGAGGATTTCAGCAAGTTCCTCTGGCTTCACTGACAGAGCTAGCAGCAGATAAAACACTGCCACATAAAAGCCTTTTTGGATTTTGTATACTCCGTGATGTAAAATGGGTTTGGAGTCGGTCTGAAAGGTATAATGAATTAACACAAAGCACATTCCCACATCAGTTCTCAGAAGGAAGTTTTTCCATAGCCGGATCAAAGCTTCCTGTTCTGAAGTAAACAGCCATTTGCATTTCAAATGTCAGCATTTCATCACAGGGGTTGTTTTGCAACCTCACATTAAAAAATTAAGCTGTCAGCTGCCTGAAACTGGTTCAAAGGGCTGCTCAGGAAACTGGCCGCGTGACGAGGGGCACTGAGCGTGACGCACTGGGAGCTACCAACGCTCATGAATGTCTAAGGAACCTTTTTTTCCAGCTTTACTAACTCAGTTCTGCTTTTTTCATCTTTTCCTCACATCTACACATGGCCGAGACTAAACCTACAGACTCTTCCAGGCTCTGCCATAAATGCTTCACGCCACCCCAGGCAGGGAAGAGAGTTGGTCAAAGGTACAGGTATTAATATGGATCAGCAAAAAGCGGGTGCCAAGGGCAGTCCCTCTTTCCTCGGCACACTTCCCGCATCCCGAGCCAGGCTCTTCCCTGAACGCTGCTCGGGGCTGACACAGGGATCGAACCCGCAACCCATCGCACTCCCCGCCCTGCTAAACTCTGCCTCCGCAAGGCGACTCCCCCCCCTAGCAACAGCGCTGACCTCACCGCGCACGAATCAGCGCTGGGCAGCTCCTGAATGTGCCAGAGCTTTCCTTACCCTCGCCCTTCCCTATCAGCCAATCAACATCCGCTCTTCTCACTGGTGCGCCAATCCATGCCGACCGTGCGCCTCTGCCCACCCTGGCTGTCCCGCAACTTCAGATCCATCCGCGCCCTGAAATATCGGGATTTTTAAGGAACTGACACCCTACACTAGAATTCCAGGACTCTTTTTCCCTCCAGAATAGGGAGTGGAGAGGAGAAAGGTGAGTATTTTTCACAACAGTGCTCTTTTACTTGGGACTACTTCGAGAGGCGGATGGACACGTCAGCGGTGGTGGGCGGGGACTGTACGGCAACGCTATATAAGGAGGGGTGGGCGCGTCATCCGTTAGAGTACAGCTGCGACAGAGTGAAGGCGGTTGCTGTTGGAGAGTGACGCGCAGGGCCTAAGACGTGAGTGGGGCGGCGGGAAGAGGGGAAAACGGAAAGCATTTAGAGGGCTATAAGCTATAAATTGGGGTGGCGGCTTGTCGGTAGGTGATTTTTGCTGGGCAAGGGGGGGAATGGTGCAGCCTCGCTTTACCGTGAGCCCTTGTGAGAACTGGGGGGGGGGAAGTGGGGATGTCTGTAAAATTTCTTCTTGGGGAAGGAGGTGGTGGTAGGGGAAGATGGCGGAGGCTGTGTCTGTTTGTCTGTCCCGGAAGTGCATTGTTGAGTCATGGCCGCGGAGGGAGCAGCGCGGGGCTGCGGGCGCAGGTCTTGCGGTCTTGCAGCGGCTGTGCGGGGCAACTGGGGGTCTTGAGAGCCGGCTGGTGAGAGGTGATGGAAGGAGTCTGGTGTAGGAGCGTAGCGTGTCGGCCTTGGAAAGGAGTTCTGGTCGTTAAGAATGAAGAGTCAGGGAATGGCTGTAGACAGTAACTAACAAAAAAAAAAAAGGCAGTCAGAAACACCCCAAAAATTCTGTTTTTTGTACAGTGTGAAACAACAACAAATCCTTCAGTTAGAAATAATTGAAGACTGTATTTCGATAGCTGAAACTTGTGTATGTTTTGCAGCTCAACATGCAGATCTTTGTGAAGACCCTGACTGGCAAGACCATCACCCTTGAGGTTGAGCCCAGTGACACCATTGAGAATGTGAAGGCAAAAATCCAGGACAAAGAAGGCATTCCCCCTGACCAGCAGAGGCTGATCTTTGCTGGCAAGCAGCTGGAAGACGGACGCACCCTGTCTGACTACAACATCCAGAAGGAATCCACCCTCCACCTTGTGCTGCGTCTCAGAGGTGGCATGCAGATCTTCGTGAAGACCTTGACTGGCAAGACCATCACCCTTGAGGTTGAGCCCAGTGATACCATTGAGAACGTGAAGGCCAAGATCCAGGACAAAGAAGGCATTCCTCCTGACCAGCAGAGGTTGATCTTCGCTGGCAAGCAACTGGAAGACGGACGCACCCTGTCTGACTACAACATCCAGAAGGAATCCACCCTCCACCTTGTGCTGCGTCTCAGAGGTGGCATGCAGATCTTCGTGAAGACCTTGACTGGCAAGACCATCACCCTTGAGGTTGAGCCCAGTGACACCATTGAGAACGTGAAGGCCAAGATCCAGGACAAAGAAGGCATTCCCCCTGACCAGCAGAGGCTGATCTTTGCTGGCAAGCAGCTGGAAGACGGACGCACCCTGTCTGACTACAACATCCAGAAGGAATCCACCCTCCATCTTGTGCTGCGCCTGAGGGGTGGCTGTTAAGTTATTCTGCAGCTTGCTTAATGATAGGATTGCCAATAGCATGTGTTCTGTAATATCTTAAGTTAAATGCAGGGTTAAAGCAAGCTGAAATATCTGCTGAACAACTGAAATGCTAATAAAGTTTTCTGTTGCACATTACAACTTGTAGTCTGTCTCAGTTCAAGCTAGTAAAACCGGTATATTTAAGTGATATGCTTACCATGATTTTCGTCCATGGCAGTTAAAGCCTCTTTGCATGCTTAGTGAGGCTGTTGTGGATGAAACGGTCTTAATTCAAGCACTAAACCCATGTTGTTTCTTTTTACTATAGTTAATTTCCAGGAAGAATAATCTGGTAAAAGACTCGGAAAGCCACACACGAAATACAGGGTTGAGCTTGTCAGTGCAGCGGGGTGGGCTTTGCTGCAACTTGTGAACTTGCAGTGTGTTTAAATTGACTTCAGTAGTGGGTGCGTGTGAGCAGCTGCGCTGCCTGACACTGCTGTGGAGAGACTTGAGCTTCAGTATGCATATTGGAGAGGTGGGGTGTACATGAGCAAATACAAGTAGTTTTGTATTTAAGTGGGAAAATCCTGTTGCAGCCTCTGGAAGGTTCAGAACTAGGGGTGGGGTGGTGGTCTGGCTGTTGTGCATGGAATGTGTGATCTGGGGAAGTGCCAACTGCAGTGAAAGTGGCTGGTGGGGCAGGAGTGGGCAGGTGGGAGGGTGTCTTCATGCACTGGGTCTAGTGAGCTGCCTGAAATTAATGGGAATCCATGACTACTGAGCCAGGGTAACTGCTTTCTGGTTTGGGCTAAGTACAAGTTCTACACAGCCATTTGATGCCAAAAGCTGGAAAATTCTCACTGAAGCCTGGATTGGCTTTATTTTGTTCTAATGGGGTGGGGTTAAATGGTTTGGTTCAACTGGGTAGTGGTGGGTCTGGTAACCTATGTGCCTCTTCATGTGAGTGTTACCAGGTTATACCCATGGTCACTGCCTGTCTTCTGTTGAATTTTGACAGCTGCTTACCTTGCAATGGGAATCCTGGCACCTATATGCTGTGTGCTCAGTGTTTCTGTCCTGACACACTTTGCTCTTCACTGATAACCCTGTATTACGCACTATCTTGGTAGTTTGGGGGTTGGAGGGTTTTTTTGTCCATTGTTAGGTTACTGTGAAAGTTTGTTCCTCCAGTGTAACATCACAGTGTCTGTGGTAAGTAAGCCACTCATTAACAGTGTGTTTTTTGCATGGATTCAGTCCTGGCTAAGAAGTTGCACTACTCATTTCCAGAAGGCTGCAGTAAAACTGGTTGTTTAGTTGTAACTAAAACTCATTGTGGTTTCATGCTTAGATTTTTTTTCTCAGTAGTGGGGTTTGCTTCCCTGCGTGCTATACCTGGCTGTGCCAGCATAAACCTGAAGTATTTCTGTAAACAACTCTCCTTCTACCATACGAGATACCTTCCTTAGATTGAGTTTTCCTGTAATTGCTGTTTTGCCTTTGTTATTTCATACTTTTTGCTGTTCAGGCACACATCCAGCTCCTGCTTTTTCCAGCCCAGCTGCCTAGGCAGGCTGCCCAGGGAGGCTGTGGAGACTCATTCCGTGGAGATGCTCACAGGCCGGCTGGCCGTGGTTCTGAGCAGCCAGCTCTAGGTGGCCCTGGTCAAGCAGGGGAGCTGGCTGGGATGTGGAGAGGTCCCTGTGAGCCCTGACTGTTCCCCAATTCTCTCTGGGTGTCTGATAGCCCAGGTCTCCACTCAGCAGTGCACTCACTCCTGTCCAGAGGAGATAGAACACTGAATAGTCACTTTGCTTATCTTCTTCTGCTGCTGTTAAGCTCCATGGTACAACTAGCTGCTTTATCTTCTCTGGCTTACAATTAACAGATGTCCTTTCTCAAGGTGTAATAATTAAGCTAATCTGTGTGGTAACAGATGCTGACTGGTTGGGTGGATAACATGGGCTGCAGGTACAGTTTGCCCTGTTTCAGATACAGGTCTGTAAGTGGCAGGTTGCCAGTGGAGGAGCTTTGGCTGGTTGGGTGAAACTGGATGTGCCCATATGCTTGTTTCCCCAGCTCTGTAGGAAGATTTCCTTGGGTGAAGCTTGTGCAGAAAGTTAATTAGCATTTGGCTTACTAAAAATGCCACATAATGGCACATCCATAAAGCTAAAGCACAAGGAGTGAAATCCCCAGAGCTGTAGTGTTGCAGCACTGCCTGGGTGAAGTGTGGAGCTGGCCTCACTGTGAGGATGTGGGGACACTTGGGCTTGAGCTCTGCTGCTCCTTGTGTTATCCAGGCTTCTGATCCCCTAGCTAATGGAGGGACGGCTGCAAGGGATTTTGTCATTAATGAAATTCTTTGCAATTTATCTTAAATGATGTGAATAAGGGAAATTATGTAAATGACAAGGAAATGTAAAAATGAATGTGCATAACATGCATTGTTTGCACTGAATAAGATAGGAGCAAAAGACACAGGAAGAGGTATCAGGCAATGTAAATGACTGATGTTGTTAAGATACAACTGTGGTGTTACCTCAGTTTGATCTGCTTAGAGCCAACTATTCATAACTAAAGAACTTGATAGGCTTTAGCCAGAATCTATATGCTATTTAAATACAATAATCCTACTGTTACCTACAGGTTCTAATAACATCTAATCCTGCTGCAGGGTGGACTTTGTGACTGGCCTTTGGGGTTGTTTTCTGACAGTTTCAGGTAATTTCTAGCCTGTTCGCTCTTAAAAAAAAATCCCAAGATTTCAAGGGGTTTGCCTTCTGTGCTTTTAAAAACATACTTCAAAGAAGACAACTAAGATAACCCCGTGACAGTGGTATTTGGATATGTTTAGTGTTTTGCTGTGTTAGCAACTGTCCTCAAAAGTAATCCTGTAGGAGAAGTGGGGATTAAGGCAGATAAACATTGGGAATACCTCAGTATGTTTGCAGTCTCATCTGCAGTTCCAAAGGCATTGTGTAGCAGCTATGTCCAAAGATCCTTGGCTGCACAATTTTGTATTTACAGAATGCTGCTGCATCATCCAAACCAGCTTCATTTGGAACTTGAGGTTTTAAATTAGACGGGTTTCTGTTAACTCGTTTGATACAGAAGTGAATGGCTGTAATTCTCACAAATACGCGATTGCAACCCTGCTATTTCTGAAGAATTTCGCACTGAGGCCGTTTACATGGGCAGCAGGAATTCAGGTTTCCTTGGTGGCCACTGGATGTCACTGTTTCTCCACAAAAGCGTTTTGTAACCACCCTTGGGTTTCCTATTTTGCTGTTTGTCAGTGGAGCATTCCTTCAGGCTATAATCCTACAGAAAGGGATATATCAAGTAGAAAGCTATCTCCATATAAGGAATAACATAAGTGGTTGTTTCCTTCAAAGGTCTGAGAAGTATGTATAGATAGGAACCTTTAAATATTATGATGTAAGACTAGCATTTACAGAAATACTGTCATGTAAATGAATTCAGTCCCCAGGGACATCAGACAGGTTCTGACAAGGAATTATATGTAAGAATATTTGGATTTGATTGGGTACTGGCTGGTATCTCTAGAGATACGCATTTCCATCTGTGTAGCTATAACAAAGAGAGCTGCTAAAATTCATGCCTTCAGTATGGGGTTGCACGAAAAGAGACTGTATTTTCCCAGGTGTGAAAGTACAACTTTAAAACAAACTCTTCTTTTTTTAATTAACCATGTGGCTTCCATGAGGTTTGAGTGAAGCACTGCCCTACCTTTTGGTTTGGAGAGAATTTGGTCCATCCTTGTGTGCTCATGCTACAGCACGCTTACCGTTCTCCTGTAAAGGTGAGTTTGAGCTGCTGCTCCTCAGAGCGGCTACAGATGAATGCTGTAACTAAATTACAGGTAATATAAGTGACTTTGTTCTTCTATTTACAGCATCCAGAAAGGATATTAAACATAAGATGGTTTTTTAGTATTTGGTAAAAATGGGCACTTAGGTGAGCAGAGAATACATATCATAGGAAATGTGCTTGTTCCACAGCACCATCTTCCTCATGCTTCCTTTTGATTTCTGCTTAAGCAGGTTCTGGTCATCACTTTTCCTGCCATGAATTACTGTGCTGCATCATATATCATCTATAATTGTATCATGAATATATTCTATAGTAGTATGAAATGGAATTTATTGATTTAACTTAAAGTTTCACATAGTAGTTTAAGAGTTTGACTTCTTTCTTCCCAGAGTTGAGGTTTCCACAGAGTGTGTGTCTCCTGTCAGGAGAAACTTAGTGACACCAGGCACATTTGCATCAGTAAGATAAGTACCGAGCAAGTGCAGGATTCCTTCTTGTTCCTCCAAATTAAAGCCTCAAAAGGCAAGAGGATCACATGGTGCTTTCCAAACTTCAGGTTGGCAGATAGGTGAAATGAATTTACTGCTTTTATTCTCCTTGCATGCTGCTTGGGATGGCTTCTTCCTGAGTCCCAACAGCTTTCAGGACTTTAAGTTTTGGTGGCAAATGCTTGTTAAGCATCCCAACCAGCTCAGCTGGCTGGTATGCAGCAGTGTCGTCATCCCATGACAGACCTTGGAACGCTGTCACTGGCAAGTGCATGTTTGGGCAGATCTTGTACTTTTTCCCTGCCTTGCTCTGAAATGGGAGCACAAGTGTTTTAGCCTAGTGTACTCTGCGGAAGCATGTGCGCATGTGTGTGCACATACCAGTGTTTCTGTGTTCCCCAGCAGCTCCATGGTTTTGTTTTGCTGTGGTGACCCCTCAGCTGGCAGTGATTCCTTTCCCAGCAATCTGCACATTCTCCTTCCTCTGTGTAAGCTATTAAAACCAGATGCGCAGAAAGAACTCTGTTATGATGAACTTTTGTGAGCTGATTTCATTTCTTGGCTGGAATAGTGGGCTGTCTCCCATGAAAGCTGGGGGAAAAGCCCAAGAGGATTTAAACTCTTAAGTCTGAGCTAAACTCCTGGGTCTGAATCTATGTCTGTTGATATCACAGTAAATTAAGTGTAACACAGCTAAACCAAACTGAACTAAATCAATGCAAAGCTGGAATGAGAGATAGGAGAGATGAGATTTGACCTTGCATTTATCTGCCTATGTTTGTTCTTTGTATTTTATTCTGTGGGTCCTAATACGTCATTAAACTTGGAAAGAGTAAGTAGCTTTGCATTGGTCCTGGATCAGCTTAATTTTGAAACACAGGAATCTCAGCAATAAGCTTGTGATCTCGTGCAAAACCATGAAAGAGGAAAAGGCACCCTGCCATTTAATGAGTGTGTTTATAGGAAAGTCTTCTCACAGCCTGTATCTGACTCAAAGTAGAAGCCATCTGGGAATGTTTCTATGGGTAAGGACCACATTGCAGGAAGTGTAGCATCATCGTGCAGTCCTGTCAGACAAGGACTGCTTTAGGCTCGCTTTTGGCTCATGGTAGGTTTGGAAGAAGAAAGCAACAGCCAGAGTTCAGTGTGTCATGATGTGACACCCCTTCTCAATGTTTCTGGACCAATGGTAATTAAAGTTTTGAGATTTGTTATGGAATCTGCCCCACTATGAAGCTGTTGATTAGATGAGCTCTTTACTATTTTGGCAGTTACTAGGGTTCTGTAGATGACCCCTAGATCACATTAAATGCCTTTGTAAACAATCATTCCTCTACCGAGTACAGATGAGAACCACTCTGCAGCAACACTGTGCTGGGGAAGGCTGTTGAGACTGTGGGTGCTGCATGTCATCCTGCACTGATGCTGAGGTCTCAGTTGTGTTAGGAATGGAAGAGAAAAAACTAAGACACTTGGTGTGGGTTGCTGTCCTCTTGTTTCCCAGGGTCCTGTCTTGTGAGTGGTAAGTGAAGTGGTACTGGTGTGTGTACATGGTCTCAGCGACAGGCAGTTACAGGAGTGACCAGTCAGTGCTCCTAAAAGTAGCCTCACCAAGATGTTCACTCCTTTGGAGTGCTCATTTCCTTTTGCATAAGGAAATAAGCACTAAGGGCAAATGAAGTAACTAGTGGCCTAAGTATCTGGAAACTGAGTCTGCTTTGTGCAGTTTCCTGTGCCTGCGATGAGTGGCTGACACTGTACTTTGTACGGTAACATTCTGGCTAGTTTATTGTCTCATACCATTTGCACTGCCTCGTAGCTGGGCTGTGTGAAGTTGTGCGAGGAGAACTGGCTTCCCACAGAGCAGTTGACCTCAGATGTTTCGCTGCTTACTTGCTTGTCCTGGGGCTAACTGAAGGAGCCTTGTGACACCTCACAACGCAACCATGGGCTCTAGCGCTGTCAGGATCAAACCGGCCGCCTCCCTTGAGATCTGAGTGGGCTGTTATTGAAAGCCCTGAGATGTTGCCTCTATATGTGCAGGCATGGGTTAAGCATTATGAATTTGCAATAGCCAGCCAGCTTTCCCATATAAGAGCACTGCACTCATTGGCTCTCTCTTTTACTGAGAAATCTATCTAGTCATTTCCTGTGCAAGCCCTTTGCTTGGCAGAAAGCTATACAGTTGAGTAAATAACAATAATCCATGGTTATTCCTTCTCACAGACAGCTTGGATTCTCTCGTGGACCACCACCATCTAGAAGTTCAATGCTGCACCGTTAACAGGCTGCTATTATGAGTGTGAACATCTCTGCAGAGGAGGAGGACTCTCACCCATGGATGTAAATAACTTGGGGTCTGCTTTCACGCTAATTAACGCTTGTTGGTATTTGGCTTGGTTTATACTGAGAGATTATTTACCCTCTGAAGAATCCCTTGGGACTCCTTGTCAGATCAGTTCTTGGGTGGAGCTTGCAGCAACTTGGGGTAAGTGCTGTGCTCTTCCTCTTTTGACAGCAGGGCTTTTCTGTGCTGCACTACTCAAAATGGCTTGCCAGAGTCACGGAAAGAAACAACTCAGCTCTTGAGTAGAGAAGTGAAAGTTGAGCTGGCAAACAGAGAGTGGTCTCTGATTCCTAGGGACGGACAAAGTGGATATATATATTATAGGGTCCTTTTTTATAGGACCGTTTTGCTCTCTCTTTTAAACCAGACGGTCTGTCTGTACAAGGCTGACAATAAATAACTCTCTCCAGTGCTGTGGAGAGATGGAAACTGCAGCTGAGAAATGATTTTGGGGAAAGGAAGACAGAAAAGCACAAGCAAACTATTACAGAAGTACAAATAGCTCTCTAAAGGATCAGCAAATATACCAGTAAGTGTTTTTGGGGAGGAAACAAGTCTGAAAGGGTGCTATACGGTGTATGCTTGTGTGTGCAGAGGAATGTTTGTCATTAGAGCGAAGACTAAACTGAATGGCTGAATTATCATAATGGTTTGTCTTGAAATCAGCCCTTGGATTTCCTGCTGTGATCTGCATAAAGATCGTTTTGTGGCTGTTTACTGCCTAGAACTGTGTTTCTTCATATCCTAATCAAAGGCATAATGCCTATGCTTTCTTATGTATGTCAGTTTACCTCTTTGATGGTACAGGCTATGGAGTCTGGCTGTAGTCCCAGCAAAGGAGATTTTGCTTCAGGGAAAACCTGTTAACCATTTGGAGGGAGTACATGTGAATAAAACGGAATTATTAAAGAAAGCTTTGCTTCAGGTTGGTAATCGTGGATTACCTTGCTGCCTCACAAACTGTTGTGAAACTGGAGTCATATGCTGATGACAGATAGCTTGCACTGGGTGTGGATCTGAGATGCATCCAGATGTATATGAAGAGGTGTATCAAAAGAGTAAAAAAGGAGTACAGGACATACTTAATAAAGTGGGCTGGCTGTATGCTCTGATGAATACTGATGTTCTCTTTGCAGCAGATCCAGATCCGGCTTTATTGTTGGGAAACCTGTGCTCTATGCAGGCTCTGAGGGCTCTTGAGTGTTCACCTGGCAGCTGGGCTGTGTGTCTGCCTGTGGTGTGGGGCTCAAGTTCAAACCCTGTGCTCACATGGATAGGCAACAGCTCCAAACACTCCTTTTGCCCCAGGATGAAACATAAGAATGACTGAGGGGAACGTAATTTGCATATATGCTTTCCGTGTAGAAACAGAGTAATGCTTATCAACAAAGAACATGAACAAACTTCCCACTCTCTTGCAAAGGAGGCCTACAGTTAATCTTATCTTTTTGGCCGCTTGGTGACTAGCGTCTATTGGCTGCATTGAGGCAAGAGCAATGACTGTAGTCTCCTGAAGATCCACTTTCTTTGCCTTTTAAGTAAGGAACCTGTGCTGTTGCCAACAGGTGAGGTCATCTCACAAAGGGGGTTCAGATGTTCTGCAGACCAGTTGCTTGTATTTTATGAACTGCTTGTGCACTTCTTTTCCAGCAGTACCCTATCTAAGGCCTTGTATTTATTCACATGCTCCCACTGTGCACAGTTTCACTGAGTCTCTCCCTCTCAAGGGTCCCATAGTCAACTGTAGGAACGCTGGACCTGGAAGCGTGCTTTCCTCTCTGTGCTGCATTGAATACATTCTAGGTTTGTGAGCAAATGATGTCAATTCTCCCTCTCCCTTGCAGGTTTAGTCTCCTAGCGCAGAACATCTTTGGTGATCTGAAAGACCATCTCTCTTAGAAATGGATAACTTCACAAGTGGGCAGCCAGGCCCAGGTCAGAGGAACAGGCTGATAGGATTGCTAGAAACAGATGACAGTACCGCAGAAGATAAACGTGTGCCTAGTAAAAAGGAAGAAAGATCAGGACCTGGAAAGAGAGAGCAACGTCCCTTGGAGACAGCGTATCAGGAGGAAAGCAGTAATTTTCCTCCTAAAATCAAGGTTAATCTGAACTATCGGCCAGGACTTGGTAGCAAGTGAGTAACTGTTGGGTATTTGACAAGGCTGCAGTCCTTCCTTATCTATACTGATCCCTGCTGCTGGGGGCCTATAGGCTTCACAAAGTCTAAACTGAAAGTGGCAGTGTAGAAGTATTACAGGCATCTGGTGGGAGGTAATTAAAAGAAGAAAGAGGACATATTAGCCCTTTCCTTCTGCCCTTGGGAGGTAGCGTGTATGTTGTGTATTTTGTGTAAATCTGAACTAACACTAAATAAGCCAAGTTGGGTGTAAGAGCATCTCAGTATGGAGCCCTATACTTGCCACAGAGGGATGTAAACCAGTTCAGAGTGTTTTGCACTGTGTGTGATGGGACTGACTCTGGTCCTGCAGCTATCTTGGGCATCTCTGTCTTTATGCTCTGGGTGTATTCCAGGGTTGCACATCAGGCTGGATCTGGGAAAAGCTCCAGCTGATGGAAGGAGCAGACACTTAAGAGAATTCTGGGAAAGAACTGTCTCTATTTTTCCCTTGACTTAAAAATAAAATACTTGTTTTTTCTGACAAACTTTTCTGCCTTCCTCCTTTCTTACACCATCTCTCTAGACCTTACTGCACACTCTTGTCTTCTGCTCTCCAAAACTTCCTAACACTGAATTTCTTCCATAGCCAAAAGGACCCAAATCGCTTTGACAGAGGCAGGCTCTTCAGCGCAGTCTCAGGGGGCAGCCCCGAGGCACTGGATGGTTTACTTGAGTACTTAAGGAGGACCTCCAAATTTCTCACCGACTCTGAATACACAGGTAGAGTCCTGCGCAGTACTCCATAACTAGGGTTAGCAGAGGCAGTGCTTCTCAGTGCAAGGGGGAAGCAGGGGAACCTGCTCATGGTTCTTTGCTATCTCTAGCCCTCTGTCCATACTTTTATTTTCCTAACGTCCACCTGAGGATGGAGAATGCCATTAACTATATATATCTTAAGGCTTTTGCCTCTACTCCAGACTAAAAATACTAAGAAAGGCCTTTAGAATAATTATTTGGTCCTACAGTGAGAGTTAAGTTCTGAATCAAGTAATAGAGATGTGTGCAAAGCATGTGCACAACCCGTTCAATTCTCTTTTTCTGCTAGATGCAAATACTGGGAAGACCTGCTTAATGAAAGCCCTGTTGAACTTAAAAAATGGAAAGAATGACACAATCCCACGTTTGCTGGAAATAGACCAAAATACACACAATCCCAGGCCACTTGTCAATGTGGCATGCTCTGACTGTTACTACAGAGGTAAGGATTCTGTTTTGGTGCCATATCAGAGCACCTTTCTCGTTACCTGAGAAAGGGGTGCAGATATAAGGAGAAAGAACTGGAGCTTATGCAGCACTGCAGTTCCAGAATTCTGGTGCAGTTACACTAGCAGCCCACTCACCTTATATTTCTGATGCTGGTACTGCATCTTCTTCAGCTTTGAATTATACACTTCTGTAACTTCTTTCTTGGTCTATAAAATGAATGATGCATGTTTAATAACCTGAGAATATGAGAGGATATGCTTGGGAAAGTTTAAAAAGCATGTCTAAAGGGAAAAAAGAAATGGTATATCACTATTAAAGTATGAGTTCTGCTGTTTGGGTTATTCCTATAACAGCAGACACGCAGCGTAGTTATGTATGTGTACGATCATCTTTATCTTTTCATGGCTGCTTGGGATTTTAGTGCCAGGCAGGGGCAGTTGTCTGGTCTTGTGCTGAACTTATGACAGTCTTGAGGGTTTGTCTTCTGACTCAGTGTTTGCAATGTTCTTTTCCAATGAATGCTGTTGAAAGTCATCAATTGCCACCCACCCCCTGCCCAGCAGTGAGGCTGTAGGACTGTTGTGCAGAACACAGTGATTGTTGAAATAGCACTTTGCTGAAGAATCCTTTGCCTGTTTCCTCTGATAGTGGCACTGACTGGTGAGTTTTGCCTGTTTCTTTAGGCCAGACAGCACTCCATATTGCCATAGAGAAAAGGAGCCTAGATTTAGTGAAGCTTCTAGTAGAGAATGGAGCTGATGTCCATGCCAGAGCCCACGGTGAATTCTTCAAGAAAAAGAAAGAAGGAGTTTACTTTTATTTCGGTGAGTCAGCGTGGAACATGTTCCTTTGCTTTTTATATTGCCTTACTGTATGCAATGCCACTAATTCTCAGTTGGCTTTGCCCCTCTGTGCATGGGTTGGCATCTCCACTGTCCTGTAGTCAAGATCTTGACTCACTTGAATGGCAGGATCCTTTCACAGACTGAGGTGTCCAATGAGCATTTGGCATCGTCTTTGGTTTTATGTGTTTTAATCCCATCTGAGGAGTCTCAGGCAGAAACAAGCTCTTGGTTAGTTTAACCAAATTAGGGGTCCGGGAAAGTGCTTCAGCTGCCCCCAGAAATAAGGAGTAATTTACTGCAAAACCCTTTCTGAATCTGGAGACACTGAGGAAGAATTTGTTCTGTGTTCCAGTGGTAAATATATAGGCTATATATATTTTCCTAGAATTGCTTTAATTTTTCTTTAATTCTTTTTCACCTGTTTCTGCTTCCCCTTCAAATACTGTCCTCATCTCTTCAGGTGAACTTCCTCTGTCCTTAGCTGCTTGTACCAACCAGCCTGAGGTTGTGGAATATCTTCTAACCAATCCCCACCAGAAAGCCAGGCTCCAGGAGCAGGACACACAGGGCAACACAGTCCTCCATGCCCTGGTGATGATTGCAGATGACACTGAGGAGAACACCAAGTTTGTGAGCACAACATACGTTGAGATCTTAAAGGCAGGTGCGAAGATTGACCCAATGTTGAAGCTGGAGGAGATTGTGAATTATGATGGATTAAATCCTCTTCAGCTTGCTGCCAAGACAGGCAAAGTGGAGGTAAAGACAGAGGGGAACCCTGGGGTGGCTGAGAAACAAGGAAAACTGTAGTATATTTCCTCAGCTTCGGGTTTTATGTAGGAGCATCTTGCACCCAACCTGTAGTATGCTGATGACAGTGGCAGTGCCACAGGAGACAATAAAGGAGGCTTCCTCCAGGCTACTGCACTTAATGCCCTACAGAGTCTGAGCTGGCTGGTGCTGCTCTCTGTCCCAGCAAAGACAGCTGGTCTGGACTGAAATTGGTTCTACTTCTGGAGGAGCTGATACAAGGTGTAGTTAGATGAATGCTTGCTTTTAGCTAGATGATCTGGTGTTTGGATATATCAAAGCATATGCTGCAGAAAGCCAGGTGTCATGTATTTTGAAGGTGATTTGGGTATTCTTGTATTATTCTACACCTTCATTGCATACACATGTATACATCTGGTTTCTCTATAGATCTTCAAGCACATTATCCAAAGAGAGATCAAAGACCCAGTGTACAGGCACCTGTCACGCAAGTTCACTGAATGGACCTATGGGCCTATCCATGTGTGTCTCTATGACTTGTCCTCTATAGACAGCTTCGAGGAGAATTCTGTGCTAGAGATTCTGGCATACAGCAGTGACACACCGGTGAGTCCTTCAACTGAAAGGCAGCAAAATCTTTTCTGCCTTTCTGTAGTGTTGCTGCTGTATTATGCAAATCATTTCAAGTTAATGTGGTGTTTTACATGATCGTTTTTCTGAAGAAGAAAAACATTCTGGAAGTATTGGCACATTTTATTATTTGTAGTCTGCTTGGTATACCTCTGATCATCTATAATATGAAATTCTTGAGCCTTTGGCAGTCGTAAGCCTGGATGTGTCCAAATACCTCGATAAAGCTGAGCAAAAGTAACTTCTTGTGGGATGGTTGATTTCTTTCATACTGAAAGGCTTGACTGAATAAACCCTTAGCAATTCCCTAGTTGGAGCCACTGACCTCTAACCCAGAAAAAGACAATCCTCTGGTGAATTTGCATTCCTGTTGACACATGAGTACATTTTTGTTTATTTTTCCATAGAATCGGTACAAGATGGTGGTTTTGGAGCCACTGAACAAACTGCTTCAGCAAAAATGGGAAACATTTGCTTCCAAGAGATTCTACTTCAGTTTTGTCTCATACTTGTCATTCATGATCATCTTTACAGCCATTGCATACTATCAACCCCTACGCGTAAAGGTAGGTCTAATCTTCTTTTCTCTAAGAAAGGCCTGATTGGATGAGTTTAAAAGGTGCTGTGTGGTTATCATTACTACCTTGGCCTTCTTCAGTGGGTTTTTGTTTTGTTTTTATCCTGCAGCCTTCCTTTCCAGTGGAATTCACAGCTGGAGGCTTCCTGTGGGTCTCTGGACTCATCATTATCTTGCTAGGAGGCATTTATCTAATCTTTGCTCAGGTATGGGTGTCTTGTGTTTAGTTCCATTGTAAGAAAGGAAAAAAAAAGAAACTCACTGACATGAGGGCAACAGTCTCAGTTCTCCTGATATGAGGATGTGTATGAGTGGATGGCAGGAGGGAATCCTGCTCCAAGACACAGTGTCAGTGCAATCTAATAGTGACAGGGGTGGCACAAGCCATGTTGCTGGGCAAGAGGAAGATTAAATTCACAATAGCAAATAATTATGAGAGACTTCTGTGACTTATAGTACTAAAATTCATCCTTGGCATTTAGTGTAGTCTATTAATAAAGACATAGGACTGAGCCATGATTCAGCCCTTGTTTATCCATGCACTTTATAAAGAAGGCCTTTCTTTCATCTTGGAAGGATGAATAGGTGAAATTTGGGATTTTGAAAATGAAAGCATGAAGAGAAGCTTATGGAACAAACCTTGCCCCTGAGCAATAGGCTATGCTGGGCAGGAATCACTCTCTAGCATGCCCTGTTTTTTGATGAATGGCTACCATTGATTTTTCTCTGCTAGAGTCTGTACTTGCGGAGGAGACGCCAGTCCCTGAAGACTATGTGTTCTGACAGCTGCATTGAGATCTTGATGTATGTCTCTTGAGGTTTTTTGCACAGTGAAAGCATGGGTGAAATTGGTTCTCTGCTGCGTGCAGCTAAGTTGCCCTAACATTTCTAGAGAGATGGTGAGCAGGAAAGATTGATTCTCTGCCACTGTCTCCTCTTTCCATCCCTTCCCTGCTTGCTTCTACTTGCAGCATCTTGTCATAACCTTTTGTTGTAATGGACTTTTCTGGGTATGCTCTGTCCTTAGATTTGTAGCGGAACACAGTGAAGGTCAGACCCTCAATTATTCCACAAATAAGAACATACACTTCTTAGACAAAGAGCTTAAGTTCTCTATCATACTGTCACTGTGGCTCAGAGTTGACTGAAAGGAAAATAACTCCTCAGTTTTCTGAGGAGAAGTGTGTGTAGATGCATGTGTGTGCATGTACGTGTGCATGTGTTCATAAGTGTTTTATTTTTTCCACCTAATATCAGTTATGTGAGTTACATTAAGCAGTTCAGAGTTTCCATACTGCGAGATTAACCGGTTCATAACAAAACTGCAGCAGCTTGTGGGTTGGGTTATAACAGGATTTGCTTATATAAACTATGTGTCTGATTAACTGCCATTTTATATGTTCCATGTAGCCTTGTAAAATGTGTTTGCTTTTTCTTTCAAAACAGAACAGATCTGCAAATGGGCCTTTTTGTTGAAGTAAGTCACGGTGTCACTCATTCTGTTTCTCTCTAGCTTCATCCAGGCTTTCTCATTGCTGCTGTCAGCAGTCCTTTATGGTGCAAGTTCAGAAAACTATGTGGCAGTGATGGTGTTCTCCCTGCTTCTGGGATGGGTGAACATGCTGTATTACACTCGGGGCTTTCAGCGCACTGGCATCTACAGTGTCATGATCCAGAAGGTCAGTACTCAGTAAAAAGCTTTGTATGAAAAGCTTTTGGGTGTGAGGAACTATTAGAAGTCCTGCAATGACTTTTCTTCTGTCAGGACCATGAAAATTGTAAATGGGATTGATATACTGACTGTGGAAATAAAGATACTGCACAAGGAGATTAGATCGGTGTCTTCAAGGAAGTACATTTTCAGCAAACTACTAGTTTGCTATCTTTGAATTTAGGAAGTGGCAGCAGCTGACATTTCCCTGTTTGCCATAAGACAACTCAAAACTAGCAGTCAAAACTAGCGCAAGTTCCGTGGAATGGGCTGGGCTGGGAAATGTTTCCAGGTCCATAGAGGAGAATGGGACTAGAAAGACAAGACAAAGCAGAGGTGAAATGTGGTACCAGGGAAGAATTCTGGTCACCACTTGTGTCAAACACTATGGACGTGGAAAAAGATGTGTGTGTTACAACAATTCAGAAGCAGCCGTACTGGGGAACTGACATATTTGTTATGTTTGTGTGAATAGGTTCTTAGAAACAACAAATAAGTTCATGCAGTGCTGTCAGATTAAGCTACAGCGATGTTACTTTCCTGAGGAAGTAATACGTATTAGTAGTTTCTTAAACATATTGTTACTGGGGGTTGGTTTATGATGTGTGAGAGCAGGAGATCATCCATGTGATTTCATGTGAGATAAAGAATGGTGCTTCCTTCTCATTTGTGTTTCAGACTATTCTGAGAGATCTGCTGCGTTTCCTCTTGGTTTATATGATCTTCCTCTTTGGCTTTGCTGCAGGTAAGGACTTGCTCAGGATTATGTTGTAGTCTGGGCTTCAATAAATACATTTTTATAAAGAGGTTTCGAATCCTGTTTTTCTCCTAGCTCTGGTTACACTGATGGGGGATGCTCCTTCGGTCTCTCAGAACAAGTCTCTTGCTCATTTGGAGAGCACTGGGAACCATGCTATGTACGGTGGGCTGCTTAGTGTCTCCCTGGAGCTCTTCAAGATCACCATTGGGATGGGAGACCTGGATTTTCAGGAACATGCCAGATTCCGATACTTTGTCATGCTCCTGCTGCTTCTCTTTGTGATCCTCACTTACGTTCTTCTGCTCAACATGCTGATTGCGCTCATGAGTGAGACTGTCACAGATATTTCTAGTTACAGCAAAAGCGTCTGGAAGCTGCAGGTGAGGCATGGTGCTGCTTAGCGGTTATGTCATGGCCTAGACTCCTACTTGAGTCTCATAACATCAGAGGTGGCGGTGCCTGTCTTTGTCCTAAGCCTCAGCTGTAAACTAAATCCTATCATTTTTAGATGTATTTAAAACTCTTGCTTTTTGGGTGGCTACCAGTCAGTCCAGATCCACATGCATAAAAAACTTGAGTGACTGGCACTATTAATCTAAGGACACTTTGGGATTGGGTTCCAAAGTGATTTTCTGAGTCAAACTAGTTGCTGATTGGGAAAGATTAAATCGAAAAGTGGGGTTGGGCTCTGTATGATCTGTTTTCTCTCTGACATGGACCTCTTCTTTCAGAGGGCTATTGCTATTCTAGAGATAGAGAAGGCCTGGCTATGGCGCCAAGGTGGGAAAAGGAGATCTGGCTGCTTCATGTCAGTGGGCCTCAATAAGAAAGATGAAAGGTGGTGCTTCAGGTAAGACAGATGACCATTACAGCCTTGTTACAGGTTCTCATGATTCATAAGCCATGAATAACCCTGAACCACCACAGGGAATTTCAGCACTGATTCAACAGAGTGCCTCAACCACATGTTCCTGGGTACACACAATTTGGTTGGTGGACGTTTGAGAGCTAGTTGAACCACCAACACATGCTGTCACCCAAAGATGTCTTGTTTAACCTACATCTGTGCAAGCATTTCTGGTGGCAGAGTGTTTCCAGTGATGCTTTCTTTATTGCTGTGAGTATAGCTGTAGAGCAGGGTGTGGTGAGAGGGCTGGTTGCCCCTTCACTCGGGAAGATGCAATTGGAGTGCAACAGGAGAGGGCAGCACTCTTCCTCACATAGAGGGGCTAGGAGGGCAGATGAACTTTCTCCAGCCAGTGAAAAGAACTGCAGCCAGCACTTCAGTAACTCCAGTGTGTTACAGAGCATGTATAGGAAGTGGAACCTTGGAGCATCCTTTGTATTAAGCATGTTCCCTGTGAGGAACTGGAGTGTTTTAAACCAAACAACATAGACCAGCACACAGTGTGTATGGGGAGAACATACAGACCTCATGGACTTAAACTACAGAAGCCCTTTATTCAAAGAAAAGCTCTGTAGGGCATTGTTGTTACAGCTAAACCATTAGGATTGTGTTGCCAGCATGAGCTGGGTTTGGATGCTGTGGGACAATGAGATCTGAGTTGAAATGCTGTGTTCCATGTATCAGTTTCTGTTGTATTTTGTCTCTCCAGAGTGGAGGAAATTAAATGGACTGATTGGGCAAAGGATGTGGGAGTTCTTAAGGAAGACCCTGGCAACACCAATGATTCAGAAATAAACCCAGAAGGTAAAATAAATAATGAAAAAAGATCTTTCAGGGTTTTTTTTTAGCTTCCTGTGCTGAGCATGGCATGGCATGTTATTAAGGCTTTGGTAACAGAAACTTCAGGCAGTCTGGCTTGCTCATGAAATTGCTTCCACACAGCATCCCTCAGTAGCAGCAGCATCACTTGTGAACTGAGAAAATAAAGAATTAGAGTAGGTATGGACCTAGTCAGAGTTGGGGAGCAAATAATGAGGATGAATGAGATGCCATTCCTACTTAACCTCTGATAGAAATGGGCATGAAATGCTGCTGAGAAAAGTGAGAGTTGTTCTTCCCTTTCATTCAGTAGCCTAAATAGATGGTGCTGTCTCTAAGAAAGGTAAAATTTAGGCCCATTCCTAGCGCAAATGTTAAAAACTGGAGGGCTTTTAGAGCACAAATCAGGGCATTACTACTGGCAACTTTGGCAAATTCTGCCAAAGATAATTATGTTTGCGTCCTTTGTTACACCTGGGAAGCAGCTCTGTGTGGGAAATGAAGAGCTGTTACTCTCTAGAAACTTTCTTCAGCCTGGCAGAGAGCTTGGTCAGAAGCTCCACTGGATTGAAATACAGCCTCCTACTCTTCCAGCATAGGTTCTGCCTAGATGCCAGCTTTCTAGGACTGGGGATGTTGCGACACTTAAAATACTATCTCATGTATGTTGGGATTTCCCTAAACCTGCACCCTTCTAAAAACTGGATCCCTTTGTCAGCCTCCTGCTGACAAAGGGCTGCTGTTTTTATGTCTCCTGCTATAGAGACAAGATCATGGAAACGGATGCCACAGAAACAACTGAGACCAGCTGGTTCAGAGGAGCAGTCACTATTGCAGCCCCAGATGTCAGCAACTGAGATGATGCCTCTAGAGGGACAAACCAGGAATCCTTAGGAGGTTTTCTGGATTGCAACCTTGCTTCCACCTTCAAAGGAGCAGTTCTTCCTCTAGCACCTGGAAAAATTGAAGACATTATCAGTATTAAAGTGCATTTAATCGAAGACTGTGATTCAGCCTGTGGCTTTAAGTATTTTCATGCACTTTAATCATTAATTTCCTCTGAAGATACTATTTTTATTCAGCGTTTTTTTGCCTGGCACTTTCTTATTATTATGTCTAAAGGTGCAAGAGCAAGATCTCAGGGCAGCAGGAGTGGTCTGTGGGAGGCAGCACTTTCTGAGCTGTATAGAAATAATGTTGCTTGCCATAGAGAAGCAGAGGATGAAGTGACTGATCTAAGAACAGGTCAACTGTTATTCTTTTGTCACAAGAGACTGCCCTGAAGTGCTTTGGAATAAAGACTGTTGTAGAGTCATAAAAAGTTGCTAAGGATGGGATTAGCTTCTGTGCAGAACACTGTCGATATGAAATATGAGTGGACAAATACTCTTCAGTCATCAAAAGCTCTACTGATTCTTTGTGTCAGTGCCTGCAGTGCTCAGTGTGTAGCCCATATCAGAACTCCCATTTTACAGTATTATAGTGAAGTTGTTTGCACGATGTGCACACTTGCTTAAGAGCACAATAGTGACGTGGGTTTCCTGGGCCTGTAACTTCACATGGGGAATTTCTGAAACATCTGTCTTTCACAGGTTGCTTTGTGTCTGTAGAAAACAGCAGCAGAATCCTGCTCATGGCTTCTGAGAGACAGATAGACCACAATGTGTCATGTGGTTAACGTTTCCTGTCAGTCTTGATGAGCATCCTGTCTTGCTGTAAATGATTACAAGGACTTCATTGCTTTTTGTAATGTGCACACTGCCTCAGGCAGGATGAGCAGTGTACTTTGGACTCTGTGAAAGAGGTAAAAATGAGCAGTCTCATTTTCAGCCTTTATTTAAAAATAATGAGTATTTTTGTCAACTGTCAATATAGCAAGTGTACTTCATTGAAAATGTTCATCTTTGGGCATGTTTTCAGAGCTTCAGCCTCTCTCAAAAAGGAAGAGATGTAACTATAAGGCCTTATAAAATTCCTAATGCTATGTCACCAAGCACTGTGCTGAACACACTGCCACACAAGTTAGTGACTTTTTCAGGACTTCATGTCAGTTTACACAGCCACATCTGTAAATGTAACAGCTGATGTTGCATTGGGTGCACCTTTCATACAGACAGTGGCTCATGATACCCCTGGAAAAGCTGCAGGCTACAAATGTTGGCAACACCTTTCCTTCAGTAAGATGAACTGCACAACTGTAGATCTCTTGTCTTTCATTTCTACTCTGAGCAAGTGAAGCTAGGAGGTTTGTCTTTTGGAGGCATTCATCTTAATCCTGTTGCTTACTACTTGCATGTGACTGGCAGCAAATGCATTGCTTTAAAAACTTATTTCCTGTCACTTCAAATGGATTCTTCCCCTGTGCTGTACAATTCCCTTTGCAGTTTCACTGCATTGGGTCTCTGAACTGTAACTAACTTGTCTCACTCCAGCTTCTGCTGTCTTGCTTTGTGAAGCCTTCAGCAGCTTTTTCCATCTATGGCTTTGTCCTAAATGTTCCCAAGATTTGGCAAGGTGCTCATATTGCACAAAAGGATCATCTGGCATATAGTGATCTATTGCTGTGCTTGATGCTTTGCTGTGCAAGGGACACCTCGAGATTCTCAACAAACGCAGAATCAGATCTGCCATCCCTGCCTGGAGTCTTAATAAAGAGAAATCTTGCTTACTGGCAGTGGTTTTGATAGCTATGAGCTGTGACAGCTTGCTTTCAAGATAACCTGCCTCTTCAGCCATTCCTTGAGACTGCTTCTCCAAATCCTTTTTTTAAGGGATTTAAAATGTTAGTTTATCTTTAGATCTGCATCAAAAATGTTCTTAAACATCTGGTGTCTGCTCTGAAACAGGGCCCTAGCATTCCTTGTGCTTCACAGTGACACTACAGACCACCAATCTCATCCCTCTCAAGCTCATGAGTGAAGGATGATGGACCCCAGATAGGCACATGCAGCAAACAGATAGATCAGGTTGGTCAGAAGATTCAACAGTGCCCAGGCTGCCGTACAGTTCTTGAAAGGAAAAAAAGGAGAGTTTTGAGGAGTTATAACCTCTCTGCAGTGAGAAGTGAGTTAGCCTTATTGAAATTAATATCAATAACCTCCCAGTTTGCTTTATTTTCAATGCACAAGGCTCCTCTTTGGTTTCACCTTCTGAGTCACTTCCCATTTTGGTCACGTTAAAAACGGGAAGGCTGTCTGGGGTTTATTTTGAGGGATATCTGCAGTTCCTTGCAAGAGGAAGGACTTACAAGCTGACTCATAGCTTTGAAGGCCCAACAGGATTTTGGGATCCACTCTTAATAGGTCATAATGTTTTGCAAGAAAACATTTCAGTCATTTACACAAGAAATTATCAATAGGTGAACTGTTCCCTCCCTTCTATCCCTTGTGACAGGCAAACCCATCTGCATGTGAACCCATCCCTTTGCAAATGGGGAGGCTTTGCAGGGATGTCTTCTGAGAAAACAGAAACCTTTCACAAACATCAGTGAAGGAATAGCTGCAGTTTCTCTTCTCTGACTGCTTAGCATGCATGAGCCATGGAGACCCTGAAGTCTCAACCATGCCATGAAGAAGACACCAGCAGTTCTTATGACTTTTCATGCAGGGCTATGGGTGTTCCTCTAATTCATGCAGGGCTATGGATGCTCAAACACTCCCCTAATTAATTTGGTCAAAGTTGCTTGACTCCTGTCAGGGTTGGGAGATGAATCCAGATCTTGTTGCTTCCAAATTCCTCCTCCTCTACTTGAGCACACTTTGTGTGGTCATTGCTCTCTATGGCCTCACTACTAGGCTCCAAATACTTCCCACTGCAGTGATCTGTCTAGCTGCTTCATGTCTGGTTTGTATGGTTCCCAATTCCCTATAAAGCCATTTTCCTTGGGGCTGTAGGTGGAAGCAAGACTTTCTTGTTCCTCAAATGCTTTGCACATTTTATTTTATGGTTGTTTTTTCCCCCTGCTTTTTTCAAAGCATGCTCTGAAGCTGAAGCCAGTATGGGGAGCTATATCTGTGCCTCAGTTGAATCCCTCTCTTTTCATCTCTTCATGACCCCACTTGCAAATGAACATACTTTCCGTTGCCTCTGTAGTTAGCAAAAGGAGTCTTTGAAATATGACAAGTGAAAAGGCTCAGACAAAGAGCAGATGCTTTATGTAAGTCTGCATAAGCTGCAAAGAGCTATTTCTGAAGCGATGCAGCTGGCACATTTCTCAGCTGGAGTGTTCCTGTGGCTAGCTATCAGCTTTTTTCTTCTTTGCTCTGTTTAAGAACTTTGTTAAATGACTAAAAAGAAAATAAAACTGAGGAAAAAAAGAAAAAAAGAGAAAAAAAAGGCATTTCAAAAGAAAACTGTTCCAGTTCACAACGTCACATCTGCTTCAGCAGCGTGAATAAAAGTGGGGCCAGACAGGAGTAAGTAAAGCTTCAGGAAAGCAAGTGCAGGTGCTTCACAGCTGGCACCTAACTGTTACCAAAATCTGAGCGCAAAGAGTGTTTGCTTTCAGTTCAGATCCCTGAGATGTGGAGTGCTACAGCATTTATGGACTGTGAGGGTGGTTGTCAAATGTTGTTAAACACAGGGAGTCCTTGGAGGAAGAGAGATGGAGGTAGCTAGAAAGTGTCTGTGTGATTTGTTGCACTCTTTTTCTGAGAATGCTTATGAAGTTTACAGTTTCTGGGCAAAGAGAACTCTCTGAAATGGCTTTTTCCTTCCCCACCCCTAAAGGATATGCCATAGTTGATTCTTCTGATTCCTCAGCATTCGCTACTTCAGCTCATTTAGCACGTGTAATAACAATACACTGCATCTGAGTAATACTTGTTACACAGAATTCTGATAGTAGAAACTATGTGGGAGTAATCCTGTGCGAGTCTGGTCCAGTTGAGGGTGAACAGGACAGAGAACGAAGGGCTCAGTAGAAAACCAAGAGTTGTTGGTAGAGGGGAGAAGAGACGTGCAGAATCCCTTGAAGTACTCTGTACATCCTGCCATAAAATGTCAAAGCCATAAAATGACACCAACAATGTACAAAATAAAAGGGAAACACCAAGTGCTCTGCGTGTGTGTGTGCATGGGGGGATCTCTTGCATTAAAAAATTACTATGAAGGGCATCTGAGAGCTGACATCTCTCTTAAATCCCTGCTGTGAGTTCACGTGAGACAGTTTGCACTGTTTCAGTGTGATGTGGCATGTCTGTGTAGCAGGCACCAAAGGAGAAGGTGGCCAGTACAAACATAGACCCTCACAGCTTTTCCTGACAGATCCTGTGTATTCTAGAAGTATTGATGGACAGAAATGGAGCCACTGCTAAAAATGACCTTTCAGGACCATAAGTTTACCTTTCAGCAGGTCTTTGCATCTGAAGTTTTATTATAGTGTCACTGGTGTACGCCTTGAAACCTCAGTTAGGAAATCCACAATAGAGTCACTTTTTCTCAGCGAGACATGCAGATCTGGAGAAGCATCAGAGGAAGAGAGCAGCCTTTGCCTGGTATCTCCACTCCTTCTGTCACCTTAAAGCTGGGAACAATGAGGTTGCTCCTATATCTACTCTTCCTAATGAGTGAGTCTTATCTCTGTATTTATTTTATATATTAGGAAATGAAAATCTTAGCCTGGAAATAATTTCTGGAGACTCAGATTGATCCCTTAAAGCAAGCCAATGAAATTATTCTTATGTAGAAAGTTCAGGATGCTTGAACCTGTATGAAAGGTCCTTAGTTTGCAGTGTGTTTTTCTACAATTCATACTTTTGAGTGGAGAGAGTTTTATGGGTCATCTTTAGTGGGAGAAAAGTGGTTGGTAGGTTAGAATAGAATGTAGGTGACATTTCTTAATATTCTTTCCTTTCTAGTATAATTTTAGATACACCCTGGATTAAGCAGGTTTTGGGTTGTTGATCTCCTTAACAAGATCTCTAGAACATGTAAGGTTTTCTGAAAGAAAATGTAGAGACTTTTGCTTGGGAATAAGTTTATGTAAAGTAAAGCATAGGGAACATTTCCTGAGTCAGAGCCTGTATCCACATCATTGTGTCCCGTGGCCTTGTGGGAACACTTCTGCTGTGGATTAGTCTTTAGTTACTTACCCCAGAAAGGGCAACACCCTTACACTGCTACTGCATTACCTCAAGCAATGGTCAGCAGCACTGGGGATGCTGCTGGCCACTCTTCCAGCCACTCCACAAAGAAATACTGGTTTGATTCTATGATAAAATTTCTGTTTGCCTGTTTCCCTTTTCAAAAGACTCAATACCTACTCTATACCTACTCCACCTGTATGGAAAGAATATTATCCTTTAAGTATTAATTCTGTGCCCTGACCACCTCACAGACTTCATGACTCTTCTAGTTGGGGAAAAAATTGTTATTAATTTTATTCTTTCAATGAGATGCCCATCACAGTTCTCTGTAGCTTGCTTTGCTGTGATTTTAGATTTAACATCAAGATTTATGCTCTACTGTTTTGATTATTTGGGCTTGTCTTCTCCATGTTGTATGACGATGCATTATTTCTGCTAACGTCCTTGTTCTTCTGTTTGTTATTATGGGAAGTAACTCCCAGCGTTGTAAATATATAAATCCTTAATGGATATGCCTGCAGAAGTTACTGGTGCTTTTTCAAATCTGGATGTTTCTTGATTTGGTTTTTGCAAAATTAAGGTGGGATCATTGCAGGAGGTTTTTGTCCTTGTGAGCTTCTGCAGATCTTTAATATTGCTCTTCTCTAGCAATCTATTTTGTTTTGGGGTTTTTTTGCATTTGTGGGTTTTACCAATGAAAGCAGCAGAGGAGAAAAAGGTAGTTGGTGGGTCTCAGTTATGTTCTCAGAATGACTCTAATAGATTTGTGCTGAGCGTCTGAACTCCATAGGTAATTTGCCTGTATATCTGGTTAACTGGCAGCATGCCTTTTTTTTTCTCTAAGTCCAGTGCACTTAATTTCAATGAGTAAAGTGCTAAAACCTTCTTGGTCATCTGTGTTGGAAACCCCAGTGAGCAGGGAGTTGGAGTGAAAAGCTCAGGTAACTCAGCTTTGCAGGATGGCAGCAGCAGAGCTGATGCAGAGTTGAGCAGCCTCTGGTTTCCAGGCCAACCACCACACAATTCCCATACAGGAATATTCCCAACAGTAACATCAGCTCCCTGGCCATCAGTTCTTTTTGTTCCCTGCTTGAGAATTGTGTCTTATATCAAAGACAGTTGAACTTTTCAGGTTGCTTGTTAGTTGTATCCAGAATTCTGGTTTTGTTTTAAAGGAGGTTTGCTGGAAGCCTGTGTAAATGTGTGGTATTGTTGGGATGATTCTCTTCCAGTGGAAACACACTCTGGAGAATCTCTGGGTTAATTTAGGCTTTCTGACTGGTAAAGTGGGATTTGCAAAACAAGGTGGGAGTCCAGGATGGTCTGCCTGTGCTCTGAAAGGGATGCCTGAAGTGTGGGTCATTTCAGGAAGCAGAACTGAAGACTATCAGTTCAGACTATTTGCATGTTTAATGTCATTGCTCCAATTGTGGTACTTCTTCTTTCACCTGTGCTTTCAGAGCCAGGCTGGGAAATGACGTGGAGTTGATTCTGAGTGAAATTAGAATCAGGAAAGACTAGATGAACACAAGGACAGAATTTGACATCTTGTTAGCACATCAGGGATTAAACTCAGAATGCTGGACTGCATGTTTAAATGCAGGCTGAACCTACAGCTTCTGGGGTCAGAGTCCAGGCATTCAGAGCAAGGATTTTAGGCTGGAGTCATCTGTAAAATTCAGATGTGTACTTTAGTTCTGTCTTCAAACAAGTACAGAGTGTGATTGGAGTCGCTTGGGCTTGTTCCTGAAATGAGTGTGAAGTTCTCAAAGTTGTCATGCGATTAACAAGAGGTTTGGTGATACAACATGGGTCAGTGCTTGAATTTACAGAACTCACCATAGTAGCTTGCTTTCCGTGCATCCTACTTTGTGGTATTTTCACTCTGTCACCCAGGTTCAAGTATATTTCTCTCCCCAGCCTGTGTGTTTACTGGTGTTGACACACTTAGAGAAATCAAGGGCAGAGGTGTGAGCAGCAGTGAACAACTGCACAAGCCCTGAGGTTTTGTTTCCTCGCAGGAGGAAAACCCAGGTTTGTGAACTTCAGCTAGTACAGATGTTCTGTGGTGTCCAAGATGGATTTTCATAAGAGAACAACAGGACTTTCATTATCTCATTTTTCAGTAGGCTGGCAAAAAAATGCTTTGTTAATCTAAATCAATGTAATTCCCATAGCTTGGCATCTCCCTCTGCCAACTGCCTCTGCTGCTGTGGTGGGCAGGGTTCAGGGAGAGCTGGCTCAGGAGCCTGTTAACTGTGCCTCTGCAGATCACAGTATGCGCTCATTTATTTCTTTGTTTTCAGTGGTCAAGTCCTTGAGGAGCTTTAATGTTGACACTGGCAAGACATGGATCACACCACACACAGCCTCTTTGTTGTGGCCCTCTGTTCTTCAGCACTGGGATGGAAACACAGCCATGTAAGGAACAGAATAAAGAAAAACACACCTACATTTCCCAGTCTTTATGAATGAGTGTGGCCTCAGGTCACGTAGCTTCTCACTTTCTACAGCTGTTAGCACAGGTTGCTCTGTCTGGCACCCAGAATTGTCCCTTAGTTCTCAGGGGCTGATGAGTGGTGTTAAGAGCTTTACTGGTGTGAAGTGTACACTTACACGCTCACCCACACCTAAGTCATGGCTCTGTTCAGAAAGGATGTCTGCTTATTTAACCAAATGGCAGAAACCTGCAGCTGGGGTTTTGCAAGACTTCCTGGCATGTTGCATCATTGCTGGGACTGCAGCAGCCAGAGCACCCACCAGCTATGAAGAGTTATGTTGTGAGGTTGGTCTAAAGACCATAAAGAATTGGAAACTGCTGTATTTTAAACTATTTGGTCTGTAGAGGAAGCGAAATGCATGACTAGGTCAGTGAACAGAAGCCAACCACAGGTGGTTCCTGTAGAGATAACCTATATTATGCTGAGCAGATTGCTCAGGCTGTCTAGCAGGCAGTATATTTTAAATTTCAGAGCAAATAAACTTTCCTCCCCCCTATGCAGAAATTGGCTGACTTAAAGAGCAGTCTCCGTTTCATATAGCAGTGCTGCCATTTCCTACATGGTGGGTGGACTTTCTTGCTGCACTTTTGGCCTCCGTTTATCTCCAGTATTCTATGGGCAAGTCACTTCCAGACCTCTTCCTTGATCTGGGATAGCTCTTCTGAATTCAGCTTTCAGATAATGGGAAGTATGATGATTTGTAGGAGAAAATAAGTGTTTTCATGTTAATGCCTGATTCAGCTCAAATCTGCTGCCTTCCCTCTTTTCCACCTTTTGTTCTCATTCCCCAGGATTTTGGCTACTTCCTCAGTAGACAAGGGGCTGGGCAGGCTGAGGAAGTGCACCATTTTGCAGGAGGAGATCCAGTGCCAGGAGATACCTCTGCGAGGTACAGTCCTGCTTCCCATTCCCAATACTTGCTTTGCTGTAGGGATGAGGAGGTACACAGGCTGGGTGCTCCAGGGAGAACTGGGCACACTGCTAAGTCCCATAGGCTACAGCTTAAATCCTCACCTAAATTCTGTTGAAATACAAGGCAACATTTCTTGTTTCCAGGACATACATTACTGTCACAGTTGCTGAAAACATTAACCCTGAGTCCTTCTAGGACAGCAGATACAGCTGACCTCAGTAGCTGTAGCCTTTCTCTGTGTTTATTCTATTTGCCCAAGGCTGACAAGTACTGTATCCATTTCAGTTCTGTTCTTTATTCATTCAATCATTCATTCAATTTCAGGAAATATTAAAGGCTCCAAAAACGTCCAGGATGGTGGCATAGCTATTGACAGGAATTCAGATTGGATCCTGGTAAGGGAATGAAAATATCCTTGGCTGAGAACAGCTGTATTTTTCCAAAATGCTGTGTATTTTTGCTGGGAAATGCAAATGAACAAAATGAGCAGACATTAACATAAGGACAAAGGCTAAAAGCTCTTGGTTGGATGCTGGCTGGTTAGAAAACCAGATGGTGCATTGCGAGCCAGGATGGAAAACTGAGAAGGGCCCTTCTCATCAGCTGAGGGCTGCAAAGGACCTTATACTTAACCACAGCCACCCCCATTCATAGGAAAAGGAAGGATTGGTAGAGGAGGCCTAGGAGAGACACCAGTTTGGAGGCTAACACCTCAGCCTGGTTACCCCTGAGCCCCAGTCTTTGCCTCAGTTCAGGGCTGGAGCCCTGGGTAACCTCATGTGGCAGGGGTCACTTCAGGGAAGGTCCTTTTTTACTCCCACTAGGCTTTCAGTGCTGTGCAGGGGATGCTGAATATTTGGCATACAGCATCTTCAGTCATCCTCTGCCTACACCTTTGCTCCTCATTCATTAGCTTTTCCTGTTGCACCACAGGCTTGCCTGCAGAAGAAGCACCACCGAGCCTTCACTACCACCGAGGACATGAATGGAGTCTGCACTCTGCTCACCACCGACCTGCACAGCACAGCCTTCCTCAACCTCACCAAGATGGGTATAGGAGCAAAGCCAGTGCTGTGCCTTTGCAGGGGGACAGAAATAACAGCCTGAGACTCTGCTCTAACAGCAGGGGCCTTCTGAGTTCCTAATGTACTGTCCACTGGGAGAGACTTAGAGCTGGATTTTAACATGTATTGTAGTGGCTTCAACAGGGTTACAACATTCAGCCTTGCAGATTAGCACACAGCAGCAGGGAGTTCCTGTTGTGGTGTCCATGCATCCAAAGATCCAGCTCTTAAGCAAGAATTTATAAAAGCATTGATATTCTCAGTGCATGGATATGACAGACATCCACTGGGATTTTAAAAAGTGCCTGAGCATTAAAGATGGTTCATTCCAACTGAACTGGACATTTAATCAAGGGAGCAGAGAGCTGGTCTGATTGTCCAGCCTTGCTCTGCTTCTTGCTGTCACTGCAAAGAAGCTGAGAAGTTTCAATTAAACACCTAGATGATCTCATTCCATATTCAGTTGCCTAACTGCTGTTAACAGTCTGACCCTCAAGTCTTTTGCAAGTCTGGGACCCTGGGTGGGAATAGCTCTTGAGTTTAAGATGTGTTTGTTAGAAGAGGATTTTCAAAAGCTAGAGTGCTTTCAAAAGCTTTCTTGCTTTTTAAATTCTTTAGTTGAGACCAAAATAAAAGGCATTCAAAGTAAAACCAGGAACAAGATTACTGACGGGAGCAGCTCTGTCAGCACAGACACCACCAGCAGTGCTTGTGATGAGCTCTTTGGTAGCACACGAAACAACTCTAGGTGCAAAGGTAAGTACTGGACAGGTACAAATATTACTTCCTTCTGTATTGGCTGAGTTTGAAGCAGCTTTCATGCATCTGGTGGGAGAGAGCTGGGGAGGGAAAAGACTGAAGTTTTGAAGGCCATCTGTAATGGTAAATGTCAATCATTGTTACAATCATCATTAACTGAGATTTTGAAAAACAAAACCTGTCACTACAGTGTAGACCATATCAGCTCGACCTGCTTTTAAAATGGCTGGATGGTGTAGTAGTCAAATTTTTGGTTATTTAATACGATGTGAATGTTCTTGAACCCTTGTTAAATGTTGGGCTGTTCAGATATCCCTTCAAATGTCCTTTTATATTTAACTGCATTGACAGAAGTGGGAACAGAGATTGCTGTCATTCTGGCTGGATCAGGGAACACCAAACCAGACGATTTCCAAACTGCCAAGACCTCTGTCCTCAATCTGATGAAGTCAATGTGGCAGAAATGCTCAAAGGTGTGTGAACCTCCTCAGGGTTTTATAATCTGATAGACAGGATGCATCAGAGCTCTAGTGAAGAATGGAAAGTCCCCTAGTTCATATAATTTGCTTTTTAAACTTCACATTGATGCTGATAATTCTACATATTCTAATGCTAGAGTTAAATGTTAGTGAGCCAAGGAGGAGGTGTAGCTAAAGAGGGAAGTGGAAGAGCTAGGAGTGGATTTTCATGCCAGAAGCATGCTTAGATATTTTACCAGGCAAATTTCTCAGGGCACCTTGAACCACGACATGCAAAAATAAGGAGTATGATATATAAGCTATTATTCTAAATGATTTAAATAAATCTTGGGACAAAGTGAGGCTGAGCAATATGCTCACAAAAGGTCTAGCCAGACAGATAAATACAGGAACTTCAGACAGAGAAATCACTGTGTTGAGCCAAAGGAAATAAAGTCAGTTCCTGGAGCTGATCCAAAAGGGATCACCAGAATACAAATGTGTGATGGAGACAGAGGGGTAAAGACAATATACCTATTACTTTCAATATATGCTTTTTTTGTGTTTGCGCAGTAGAGTTTGGGACTAAATTTGGCATTCTGAGGGTTTTAGGAGTCCTGCCTTAGGTCTTGGCTAACCAGCTCTGGCACTGCCATCTGCTTTCTCCAGATCAGGTTTGCTGTGGTGCAGGATGGAGCACAGATCCAAACTGAACTGAGCCTGCAAGAGAGCTGCAACAGACTAACTGCTTTCTTCAAAGTCAGGAACATCAAGCAGCAGAGCTCACAGACTGACATCGCAGCCACACTGCAGCATGTGTTGTGAGTTCATGTGTCTCAGGAAACTTCAGGAAGACTCAGGCGATTCCTTATTTCATGTGCATCAGTGCAGCCTCCCACATCTCTCTACTCTTCTTTATCTCACACTCTCAAAACCTTCACTTTTCCAATGCTTCTGTTAGTGACAGGCTCTGCCAGCTGAGGCCTGTAAATGAGTAATTGCCAAGAGGCAAGGAGTGAAATCCTTTATGGCTCACACAGGGGCTTCAGAATGAAAATTCAGTCACTTGGGTCTTGCAGGTGCTTTCCCATCTGCACTGATCTGCTGCATCTCTGGGAGTCATGCTTTCCCTCTTGACTCCATTTTCCTCTCAGTGGCATGACTCTAACAATACTGACCCACGCTGCAAAAAGGCCCCATATGCTGTTTGTGAAAGTGTTTGTGAAGTCAGAGCTACCTGTTGTGGACAGCCAGTGTCCCTGGAAAGCATAAATCCTGGTGCATGTTTGCCTTGCACATCTCTGCTCTAGTGGGCTGAGAGCTCAGTGAACGTCGGCACCCTGCTATCAACATTTCTAGCTCTGCAGATATGGCTTGTCCCATGAAATACCTCTTGGCTTCTTTTTCCACAGGGATAAAGTCTTTGAAAGCCATGACCTCAGCCAGGCTGTTAACAAGATAATCATTGTCATGGCATCTGGGCAAGTGCTTTTGGAAAACCATAGGTTGAGAAATGTGATGAACTCCTTGGACATGGCTAGGGTCAAACTCTATGCTCCTGGGGTGAGTGGGAAGCACCATCAAAGTCATACTTTTTTTGCATCAAGGCAATATATAAGGGAGTGATGTTTCCATCCATCCCATGTGTCTGCTTTTATGGTTTAGCAGTGGGTTAAAGAAAAGGTAGCCATGCATTAGACTTGTAGGATGTCTAATCTGGCTCCTCCGTTTCACTCAGGCCTCCATCTTCTTGATGATGGAGAGATTATTTTGAAGGAGTTAAGGAATATATCCTAGAAACAAAAGTGCTTCAGTTGTGTATGTCTTTTGGCTCTAGAGCTTTTATTATTATTTTTTCTTTGCAAATAAGGGCTTTCCATGGAATCTAGGATCAGGGTTGCTTTACCAAGCTTTCAGAAAACTCCCTCTTGTTAAGAGCTTTGAAGTTTTTAATGGCAGTTTGGGAATTTGCTGGTTTTTTGGTCTGTGTATGAAATGTGTTCAATTTCCCTGTCTTCTCCCTAGATTGGAGAGTTTATAAGCAACCAGTGGGTCCCAGAAGAGCTGCAGGAAGTTAGAGGTGACAGGTTCATTCTGTCCACACATGAAGATTTTGACAGTTTCCTTTCAGAGCTGGAGAGAGAGAATCTGAGAGATTCAGGTAGAAGAAATCCCACTCCTGACACATCTATGTTCTCTGTAACTTACAGAGTGGATCTGTAATGGGGGGTAGTTTCACTGCTCAAGGAATGTAAATTCATATACAGATCTTACCTGTTCTGGTAATCATTTGCCCAGCAACAGGAAGTTGCAGCAAGTGATTTCTATTACACTGCTAACAATCCTCTTCAGACAGATAGGACAAGAGGTTTATATTTGGCATCTGTGACCTGCAGCCATAATATCAGTACAAAGAGAGGGGCTTTAACACACATTCACCACAGGCTCAGTGTTTCTGTTAAATTACTGCCCTTCTGGGTGTGCTCAGAGCAGTTAATTTCTCTTAAAATGTAGATGCAGCTTTGAGATGCAGTCCTGATCCCCACAGTCTTCAAAACTACCAAGTATTTCCATAGTACCTGTAGTCTTGCACCTGAACAGAATATTGACTGCAGGGATGAGGAAGAGTTCAGTTGGCAGGCAGCAAGGAGCAGGAACACCACATAGGCAGTAATGCAAGGGTTTACTTCACCTTTTGCTTTCTCTCCCACCCTGTCATCTTTGTTCAAACTGGTTTCCTGATTCAGCTGAAAATACTCCAGCTGAAGCACCAGAGCACAGAAAACCTAATAACAGTGGTGACAGCAGGCTCCCTTCCTGGATGGAGGAGGACGAAGAGGAGGAGGAGGAAGATGGCTTGCGTACGTGGTGAAGTATCTTCTAATAGAATTGTGCCATGGACTGTCATGGGCTGACAAAGTATGGGGATTTGCTGTACCATGAGTTGCCAGACCTGAGATGTAGGTCATGCTGGAATGACAGCTGAGCAGCCTTGGTGCAGTTCAGTTACTTGTTTGAGTGAGATGACTTGTGTGTTGATCAGTAACACTGCATAAAGAACTTGTCTCTGACCAAGACTGCTGATTGCTGCCTTCTCATTCCTTTACTTCCCTGGGCAGCTTCTGGAACTGAGATTGCTTTTGTCCTGGATGGATCAGGGAGCATTGAGCCCGAGGATTTTGAAAGAGCAAAAGGATTCATCCATAAGATGATGAAAACGCTGTATGAGAAGTGCTTTCAGGTACTCTGCACTCTCTTTCTTTAGCAGGCTAGAGAATGTGCTGTGCTTTAAGCTGCTCTTCACCAGAATTTGAAACTGCACAGGTTTGTTTCTGTCAGGATGGAAAAGCACTTCTGTGACTGGCAGGTATTCTCAATATAATTTTGCTTACATCTCAGCAGTACATTCCCAGTCTTGATCCCAACATCATTTTGGAATCAAAGTCTAATTTGTGTGCTCAGAAATCCCTAGCTCTGCTATGCTGCCCATCTCTGCTTTCTTGTAAGGTGACAGTCATGACTCTCCTCTGGTGTCCTGTCTCTATTCCTATATTGTAACATCTGTACCTGCAATCACAGAAGCACCAGTTAAGACTGCTTCTTCAGCCCAGTACCTTACCAGTCTTACTTAACTCCAGTTACGTATTCTGCATGAAGGTACTCTGCTGCTTCCTCTTGTGAGGCTGAGAAGTGTGATCCACACACCAACTTTAGGAAAGCCTCTATCTCTCAAATGGTTCAAATGACAGCATATTCTAGGGTGCAAATACTAAATGAAGAAATGGTCCCGTTCTCCAGACTGTCTTTGTTAATCAGAGCATCATGGCGTAGGAGTACTCCAAGGAAAGGCAATGTGCAGCAGGAAGCAATGAAGGAACAATTCAGTAGTATCACAGATAATCTCCTCTGCAGCCTGCACGTGGGCCAAACAGAGCAGGAAAATGCAAGGTCTTCAAAAAGTGTTTCCCAAAACATTTTTTCTCTCTGAACTGGTAGTGCTTTGGTTTTCCTCAGCTATAACATACTTACAACAATCTCTGTTTCTGCACTAGACATACTTAAAAGCCACGCTGTCCCGAAAAAAAGAATCTTCCTTTTGCATAGTCTGGCTAATATTTCTATTGGGATTTCTGGGCTAGTTATTGCAGATATGAATCAACAGTAGTCACAAGCAGGTGCTTATCTGCTGCTTCCTTCCAGTGCAATTTTGCAGTGGTGCAGTATGGGTTTGAAATCAGAACTGAGTTCGACCTGCGAGAAAACTGGGATCCTCATGCCACCCTCCAGAAAGTACTTGATATTGTGCAGGTGTGCAATGTGACAAAAACAGCATCTGCCATGCAGCATGTCCTGTAAGTAACAAAAGAGCACAAGAAATTAAGGGGATCAATTTCTGGGGCATTTCATGACTAAGGGAGAGGGACATCTATGGACATTCAGGTCCTGAAAGCAGTGGTTGAATGGCAGGCAGTGGTTCCTATGCCATATTTTAAAGGGTTATAAAAACCAGCTGTTGGTGCCTAATTCTTGGTGTGAGGCCACTCAGGAAGCAATAGAAAGAGAGACAACTCCTAGCAGTTTTAAGATGTGTGAGTGTGCAGATGTGTGGATCCTCTTGCCTCCTTCCTGTGACTGTTAGTTGCAAGTGCATAATTCAACAGGACTCTTCCTTCTATCCCAAGGAGAGAAGCTTCAACTTTCTTCCCAAGTTCCTTGTTTTGATGTTTTCCAGGGATTCTATCTTCACTGAAAGTCATGGGTCCCACAAGGATGCAGCCAAGGTCATGGTTGTGCTTACAGATGGGGAAATACTCCTGGATGAAATGAACTTGACAACTGTGATAAAATCACCCAAAATGGCAGGAATCAAGCGTTACGCCATTGGGGTAAGCTGGGAATGTACTTGGAGCATATTTGCCTTCTATTTCTTGGTAGCACCAGGGGGCAGAGAAAAGGAGAAGTCAGCAAATACATCTGTGTTTGTTTGTCAACAAGGCTTTGTCCTGAAGTCTGAAGTTCAGTTTCAGACCTGCTCTATATCTCCTCAAATAATATTCCTGCTATTTCTTATCATTCTCTCAGGACAAGAAAATGTTCAATTTTGTGATGTCTTGTAATTGGTTGATTTCCAAAATTAATTGTTGGATACAGCAAAAGTATATAATTGAATATAGCACCAGCCAGTTACATGAAGGTGTTTGTAATGGTTTGGCTCCAGGGGACACTGAGGCTGTCCAGTTCATTGGTTTCTAAAGCAATTGCTATTCCTGGGTTTACACATAGTGGCAGAAGCTGAGGTTTTTCCACAAACTGTTGAAAGAATTAGGTCGGGGTAAGAAGCCTCTAAAGGCTGCTTCTTTTGTTTGATTTGCATCTCATCTGCAGGTGGGAGATGCCTTCAAAAAACCAAAGGCCCTAAATGAATTGCGGCTAATTGCCTCTGGTCCAGATGACACTCATGTATTTCAGGTGACCAATTATTCAGCATTAGATGGGCTGATTTCAACCCTGCAGCAGAGTATTATTGGTATAGAAGGTAAATAACAACCTTTCTATTTCACTACTACGTTTTGAAACATAAGGAGAAAGTAGCTTACCCTATTTCTGCTGCATCCTCAGGGACACAGGGTGATGCTCTGGAATATGAACTTGCACAAGCTGGTTTCAATGTGCAGATCTTGGATAAGGTAAGTTTTCTGCATTTAACCCTGCTAAGTGGTTGTATGCTGTGCTGTTGTGATACTTGAAAGGTTTCAGGAGGTCTCCCACAGGAAACTATGGTGATACAAGTGTGAGACCCATGTAGTCAAATCTTCTTCACAAGCCATTGCCTGCTTTGAATGTGTCAGATAAGCAAAACTATCACTTCTATATAGTCTGTGAGTAGGGGTGGGATTTATCTTGTGACTCCTGTTATAACCACTGCATCCTTTTTATTCCACTGGACAAAAGAGCTATCTCCAATTGATAGTTTTGATTTTGCTAGCAGAAATCAAAGCTACCAACCGGATCTCCAATGCGCAAGTCAGGGAGTTTAGGAGCCAAAATACATTGCTCCATACTAAATTGCTTTGCAGAGTGCTAGAGGCAATTGCTCTGTGTTTATCTCTTCTAATTTGCCAATGTTGCTTCTGCAGCAAGTCTTAATCTTTGGTGCAGTGGGGGCCTTTGACTGGTCTGGTGGAATTCTGCTGTATGATCTGGCAACCAAGACTGCTGTTTTCCTGAATGAATCTAAAGAAGAAGCCCAACAAGCAAAATACAGTTACCTAGGTAATAGGCTTACCACTCTCTGAGATCAAGTGACAACTTGACTGCGGTTTTGCTTAGTTTATTGGCATTTAGTGCAGTGTGGTAATAATGACAGTATGTACCTGATGAAGGCCACCTCCTGCTGCATCATACTGGATTTCCAGTGTTTTCTCTAGCAGGGAGAGCTATTCTGATGAAAACACTTTCTGCCTCCTTGTTTGGGGGAAGATACAACTTGTTTTCTCCTATGAGTTATGATGCCTTGTGGTACTATGTTAACACATGCCATTTGTTTTCACTGTGCAAGAATACTTGCAATGAGGGGCATTTTTAGAGCTAATAAATATTTCACTTAATGCGAGTGCATGGAGACGACATAACTTAGGAATCCATACTGTTCTTGTCTTGGTGACAAATAAAGCCTTGCTTATTCACCCCAGTGCTTTGTAGCCTCATGATCCCTGTATCTCCTGACTGTAGCCTTGGCCATAAAGTCTTACCAAGTAATATGAGGTGCTGTGGACTTATTTATGTTGGGATAATCCTTCTCCCATTACCTCCACGCTACAGAAGCCCCATAAAGATCTCTTTGCTTTCTAGACAGAGCATAGTATATTCTTCACTTCTGTGAAGGGTGATAAACCTTCCAGCTTGCAGGCATAATAATTGAAACCAAAAAAGTGTGGATGATGGATAATCATGCAGGAACTGTGACAAATGCTGAGAAAAGTCATCAAGAGTTCAGGCATACTTTTCAGGACAGTAATTTATTCAATTACCCTAAGAGCTGCTAAGGCAGCTTTGCTGGCTTTGCTGTCAGAAAAGTTGCCTGCTATTTCCTAACCAATATTTTTATGAGATGCTGTGTAATCAAAACTAAGGGCTCCAATAGTTAGATTATGGTGTAAATTCTTCAATCTCATTGAATATATAGGTCTATGTCTCAGACCAAACTCTGTGGGTTTTTTCCTTCAAGCATAGAATATGGTAGTGATAATATATGCTATTTTTATTCCTGTGTGAATGTACCAGGGTACAGCGTGGCAGTGGTACACACAGAATATGGACCCTTGTACGTGGCTGGAGCTCCACGGCACAGCATGAGTGGGAAGGTGTTGGTGTTTCAGGATGGCCACTTAAAACAAACCCTGCAAGGAGAACAGGTATTGGGCTTCACTCACCAGGGGCAGGTAGGCTGCACACATCTGTCTGCTCAAACAGAGCTGCATTTTCTCCTCCAGACACACTTGGATTTAGCCAGATGTGTATTACAGAGTCTTTGTTCATAATACTTTGGGAACAGCAGAAGAAAACATGAATTTTGGAAAAAGACTGGGAAAAAATTAGCTAAATGGGGTGTGCTATATTTATGTCCTGTCCTCATGGTTCATGGGGAAAGAGGTCACCAGCTGTGGTACTCTTTTTTAACTCTGTCAAACTGTTGAATAATGATTTTGTTACTGCTGATCTGGTTATAGGATCTGTCCCTGAGGATGGCTGTAATAAAATAAATAATAGGAAATGATCCACATATAAGTAGATATGTGGTGTTTTGTTCTAAAAATTGCCTTACTGCTGCAAAGGACACTAATTCTACAAAGCTATATATAGAGAATTCCAGTGAAAGAGCTGCTTCTCTTTTTCTGGAGCACAGGTTGGATCTTATTTTGGATCTCAGCTCTGCCCAGTTGATGTGAACCATGATGGGGTGACAGATCTTCTCCTTGTTGGAGCTCCATTTTACCACATTCGAGGGGAAGAAGGAAGGGTTTACGTCTATCGCCTGGAGACAGAGGTAAAAACACTGGTAGCGTAAACACTCCACGTTGGGGATTTTCCAACCATGCCTAAGTAGTGACAAATAAAACATTCCTCCTTTGTGCTCTCACTGCATGTGCTCTCCCTGTATGGTAGAGGACTGCAGGCTGAAGCCAGCAAGCCTGTCTTAATCATTAGAATATAAAAGAGAAGTAATAAGAAATAAAACCAATCTGTGCCTAAGGTATATGCTTATCACAGTGTGATGATATCGTGTCTTTAGCCCGTACAAAGGCAGTTTGTTGGTGCAGACCTTGCTCTGCCAAGCAGTGTTCCTTGTGAAGCTTGCAATAAACACGTGCATGGGTAGCTGCTAAAACTTTGCTTCCTGGGACTTGTGCAAAACAAACTGTTTTGTGAACCTTACTACAGGATCTGTTACATAATATACAGGATATAAGTTAATTGTGTCATTTCGAATGAGATGTGAACTTTAGCAGTAGACCAGCAGAAAACACGCTTTGGTGCTCTGCTGAAATTGGCTCAGGGCATGTACAGGATTGTTGGAAGCAGAAAAGGACAGTCCGGGCATGACAGAATTCAAATAACGTGCACCCTCTTGTGGCTTATTCCTGTAATAGGGTGGAGGAGGTGGGGTGCTTTCCGTTATGAAACAAGCCCAGGATCAACTCAATATGCTACTGATTTAAGACAGGGCTTCAGTATGTCTACTTCAGTAGGGCTGTCCAGAGACACTGCTTCTGTATGAGAATTTGTATGCTCTCAATGCAGAAGGATCAATCTTCTGTCCCAAGAATTAGCTGGTATCTTGAACTTAATATATTTAGGACTTCATTGCTCACCTTTAAGAATGAGTAATGTGCAGAAAAATATTACTGTGCAGTTAAGATTATTTCTTTTTTTATGTAAGAGCTACTTTTGCTATAAATGGATTGCTTTCTGGGATGTTTTTCAGACTGGATCATTCACTTTGAAAGAACACTTAAATGTGCAGGTGACCTCTCCTTTTGCAAGGTTTGGCTTTACTGTGGCCAACATTGGAGACATCAATGGGGATGGATATGAGGATATTGCAGTTGGAGCCCCCCTTGAAGATCAGCTTTCAAACTCTACCTCTTTTGGCAGCATTTACATCTTTAATGGGGATAAAGACAAGATCAAGAGCTCTTTTTCTCAAGTACGTGTCTTGTGGGGAATTAGCTCCAGTACAGCTTGAGAGGGAGAAGCTTGTGGTTTTGTAGCATGAGGCTGGGAAGATGGACTTCCACATGTCATTTGCATTTATGGGTGAGAAATTTGCAGACATCAGATGGTTTATGTGACTCAATAGGTTTCTGCAACAGAGCTGCTCCTTAACTGTACTCACCTGTCTGCTCAGGCAGAGGAGCTGGGTTCAAGTGCTGGCTATAGAACAGCACAGCCTTTTGCAAGCCTGCCTGTCCTTTACAGGCCGCTCAGTCAGTATTTTGCATCTCAAGAATGTTACAAAACCCTCCTCACAGCAGCCTCCTGAAAAGAAGTGTATTTTCCCAAGGGCAGGAGAGTTCATGACTTATATTCATTTATGTTTCCCCCTTTTAGAGAGTAAAAGCCTCTGAAATTTCTTCAGGACTCCAGTATTTTGGACAATCCATTGATGGTGGCTTTGATTTCACTAATGATGGTCTCCAAGACATCACAGTAGGATCACTGGAGAACGTGATTGTGCTACGGTAGGTAGTAAGTTCTATTTCTCAGTGTGCTGAGGCAATGCTTCAAAGACAACTTTAGAATCTGTGTTCCAAGCAGTGTAATGATTCTATTTTTAATTCAGTGCCAGAGTGACATAAAAAATATTTCCCAGTGCTAGAAATCATATAAAAAATGTAAAGCCTTTAGCTCAAGTTGCAAAGGCTTTTCCCTTTGTATGTGTAAAGCTTTGAACAAGCATGAGATAGTGAACGTGAAATTATTAACACATATCTAGGTCTAAGGAGACCTTGATGTCTGCAGTTCAGTACTGATAATATAAGTCATTTAAGGCAAAAAAGATCATTTCTTTACATTACATACATTACATTGCATTTACATACCTCATTTTCAATCAGACATCTTTTAACTGGTAACAGGTTAAAACTTAAACAGGGGAAGTTTAGATTGGATATAAGGAGGAAATTCTTTACTGTTAGGGTGGTGAGGCACTGCAATGGGTTGCTCAGGGAGGTTGTGAATGCTCCATCCCTGGCAGTGTTCAAGGTCAGGTTGGACGAGGCCTTGGCTGATATGGTTTAGTGTGAGGTGTTCCTGCCCATGGCAGGGGGAGTGGAACTGGATGATCTTAAGGTCCTTTCCAACATGAACTATTCTATGATTCTGTGATTCTGTGAACTGAGTGACCTGTGCAGTTCACAAAGAGTAAGACATGGCAGACAGATTTGATTTTGTTCTTGCATTTTATGTTTGAAAACAAATTATAGATACAGAATTTGAACCCCTAGGTAATGTGTTTACCTAATGGAAACATAAACAGCATGTTTAATTCTGAAACTCTAGCCATACTGGTGTATTTTGGCTGTCTGTTCCTTCAGACTCTTGGGATTTTGTGTGTTCTGAACATTCCCAGCAGAAACTGGAACTTCTGTAAATAAACAGCCTGGTCCAGGTGAAATACCATGGAAATACTGAGCAGTTCTTACTCATGCTGCCAGGCTTTCTTCAGACATTTTTCCTGTAATGTTTCGGTTCACAGACTTCTATTTGATTCTGTTCCTTATGTGTTCTTCACTGACCAGCTCGAGACCAGTTGTCCACTTTCTCACCAGCATGAGATTCAACCCTGACAGAATCTTCATTTTCCAAAATAACAGCCTTGTTACAGCAGAACTATGTTTCGATGGAATCTCAGCTCTACCAATGTCTCAACAAGGTAATGAATGGGAATTGTGATCAGATTAAAATCTACAGGCCTATGACTGTCCTTGGAAACTTGGCACCGAGGACAATTTCTGGTACAACTAACAGGATTTTTAAAATCTTGCAGAGTTTTCAGAGTTGTACATTTTCTACACGGTGGACTTAGATGTGAAAATGGCAAAGAGGAGAGTACAGTTTGAAGATCAGAACACCACAACAAGTGGGAAGCTGTTGGTCAGCGAGCACATGTGCTCTGAACTGCAGCTTTACCCACTGGTAGGTGATGTTGGTCAGACTTCCTACAGAAAGAAGGGTTGAAAGCAAACATAAGGAAACTCTTTTCCACAATATATAACTGAATCACTGAACACATTATCCAGGGGATGTTATGGGAGTCAAATGTCTAAAGTGATGCAAGAAAATATTTGATAGGCTTATGTTCCACTGATACATATTAAACACAGTGGCCTAAAGAAAACGTGAGCTAGAAGGTCCCTAAATATGACAGACGCTGAAACAGAGATGACATGTGAACACTTCTGCATTTTAATACCCAGATATTTTTCAACTTCTTGTTTTTCCTTTCTTGTAGCCATGTGACTTTGACTGTTTTTCCAGTGTTTTTCTGAGAGTTAAGCATGAGGTCTTGACCAAAAATGATCCCATGGAGTTTGCTGTCCCTGTGCTGGATAGATACCAGCCATCAGAAATGCATTTTCAGGTAAAAAAACCAAAACAGTAGTAAAGAGCTTTCTGTCTTGCTTTACTTTTGACTTTCTCCTGTGCCTCTGTATAAAATGAGATTAGATGCTACTTGTGATGGCAGGTGGTCTGTGTGTTTTGGGAAGTACTTCTCAGATACTGAGCTCTCTGTTGAAACTTATATTAAGGCTTGTTATTTGAATGGTGTATTTGGTAGCAACAAATAAACGATTACCTAATGCACAATTTTAAATTCTACTTAATTTTAAATTAACTTCCTCATTTTAAAACACATTCAAATTGTATTTATAATTTTTAGTTTTAGTTGTTTGTTTCAAATCAATATTTAGGAGGCAGCAAACTTCTAATAACCTTAAGTTAGGTATCCTGTCTCCTCTCTTGGCCTTTAGTAGCCACATTCCTACAGGCTAATCTGTCTCTTTTTCACAGTTTCTCTGAAATCCAAATCACAGCTTGTGAACAAAGCTCTGTAAAGAGGCAGCTTTTTGCTACATAATAAGCATTTTTACCATCATTCAATATTGTATTAGCTGCCCATAAAGCAGAGGACAGAAATGTTAGGAAAACATTTAGCACTGAGCAATAATGAACACTACTTACTACAGTTACAGTGCTCTTAGGGATTATGATGTTGATGGTACATTAATTTCCTAATAATTCATGAGATTCTGGACTGTTAGTCAGCATTGCTTAGTGCTTCTGCACACAACATCCAATTATTAATTCTCATTGAAATTCTCCAGAAACATCAGCCACAGACAGATTTTTCTTGGTGAATAAAACTATTGCTGAAGAAAGTAACCTCATGTCTACAGAATAGCGTGGCTGTAAAATGGCACAGCATATGAACATATTTATTCAAGGAAAACATATAGTCTCTGGAAAATAGATTAACATTATTGCCCTGTAGCAATCCAGAGGTAAACAAGTGCCTTTTCTTTAACAAGACCTTGACCCCAGTGAAGACTTTTTATGCTATTGCCAATGAACCTTGTCCTGGGAGCTGAATTACAAAACATCATCAACGATTTAGTGCTGGAGGGTCATTTTTTTCCAGCTTCCCCTTAATGGAGGCCATGGGGATTTTGGCTGTCAGAGGGTGTATATTTATATGTAAATATTTTCAATCTGCTACCTTAGAAAAATTAGGGCTGTTTAACTTGCTCTGTCTTTGCTTTCAGTTGCCTTACAAGGAGGACTGCAACAAGACCATCTGTGCTGCTCAGTTAACTTTGACAACTGAGATTCAGTGAGTCATACTTATTGCATTATCCAGATTCTGCATTTATCACTCATATAAAGTGGCATCTTTGTGCTTAAGATGTTTTCTTTAAATTCTCAGGCAAGATTTGCTGTCCTTCTTTTTACATTGCTTTCCATTCAGTTCATCCTTTCCCTAGCATCACATTCAGTGTTGTAACTTCATGCCTCCATGGGTGTTGCTGGGCTGTTCTAAGAAATTTTAGAGGACAGACCAAGGTTTAAGCAACTCTGGTCATCATAAAATCACATTTCTGATTTTCAGCTGTGAACATGTGACACTGTTTTAGGCTGATGCACAGCGTAGCACTACAACAGATAGCTCCTCAGTTCACACAGCCTTAGACAAAATGGTAGCTTTACTGCATTGTAAAAATTTACCCTGGAGATTCACTGAAAAGCCAATCAAGCAGAACAATGTTTGAAATCTATCTTGATGTAAAACATATTATAAAATGCTACATAAAGGAACTGCCTTTGAAATTAAGAAGGAAGCATTTTCCTACGCACCCTGAAGAATATTGAATAATTAATTGGGCTGTTGCATTATCCTGTGTGTGAAAGCATCCGGAGGGAGTAATTATCAGAACAGTCAGGCCTCTTATTAATAACCACCCTTAGAAATTACATGTGATCTCATTTTTCTGTCTGCTTTTAGAAAGGAATTAGTGGTGGGCTACACTAAAGAAGTGAGCATGAAGGTTTCACTAATGAACAGTGGAGATAACTCGTACATGACAACTATGGTCTTGAATTATCCCAAAATGTTACATTTTAAGAAGGTGACATTTGAGGTAAGATTACAGAACAACTCTTCAGCTAGCAGCAGACTGCTTAAAGAAAACCCAGATTAGACTACTATTAATTTACTACCTAAATAAAACTTTATGAGTTACAGGGAAGGGAAGGAACATTTCAGTTGTTAGGACTGAATACTGCATTTATCTGATTTAATACTCCCAAGCGTTTATTGGGCTATTTGTACTTAATTCATTTTATGGGAGCAGGCACAGACTGAGTTGAAATTCCTGGTCTGTTTTTATTCAGCATTAAAGAGCATTTCTGTTGTGTTGGCAGCCATCCTCTCCTGCTGTTCACTGTGGCCAACCAGTACCATTAACTTCTGCAGTCTTATCCTGTAACTGCAGAATTGGGTATCCAGTGTTCAAGAAGACAACTGTAAGTAGAGATCATGATTTCATTATTTTCACTTTTTCCATACCTCTAAATGATACTTTGAGTAGCTGCTCTTGCATTCTCTATCTCTACAAATAGACCAGAGCTGCCATTCTTTCTGATTCAGCTTATGGCTGATATGCATTTTCTGAAGGTAAGAGAGAGCCTTCATATTCCTGCACTTTATTTAATGTCTAATTTCTCCAGAAGGAAACTGTGAGCAGAAAATACATTAGCCCTCATGTTTTAACAGTACCCTGGAGAGTTAAAGAGTATTAACAGGGTAATTGATATTTCATTGTCTTTCTTTTCCCTCAAAATAGGCAGATTTTTCAGTGATTTGGCAACTAGAGGAAAGCATATTCCAAAATAAGTCTTCAATCACTGTGAATATCACAAAGTGAGTATTGCTATTTTCACCACACAATACATAACAAACTAGAAAGGGTATATCAGAATTCCTACTCAGTGTCCATACTATTTATCAGTCACAAAACTATAGTTTACAACCTTCTGAGGTGTTTGGATCTATGTGAAAAATTTTTTCTTCCCTTATGAAAATCTTAACTTTGCTCATACTTCATTATTTCAGTGAAAGATGGAGCACCCTTTAAGGTCCTTAAGTGTAGTGTGTATTTAAAATCTTGTGTGTTCTAGCATCCTCCCACCTTAGCAGAAAGAACAGATAATTAAAATACACAATCCAGCTCTGTTCCAAGAAAAGCTTTCACTCCAAATGATGGGGATGAAAACATAGGTTTAAGGCATTTTTCTTGATTAGGGGCCATCTAATGGGTGGAAGTTACCATTCAGATTCCTTTCTTGTCATCTTCCTACCTTTAGAGTGTATGGGGACTGACTGGTACACAGTATTTTTTAAACAGAGAATCTTTAAAAAGGAAATGAGAACTCATCTCTGGCAGCTGTACTTCCTTGCAAGCACAGTTGAAGCCAAAGGGTTCTATATTAATTTAATGTCCAGTTTTGTGAGGGGTAGAGGCTTTAAATTTTAAAATTTAATTAAATCACAGATGAGCATTGGTTTGTGGGGAAACATTTCAAGGCAATGACAGCTTTCAAAATCTGTGGTAATTATGGTAATAAAGGGCTACTCCAACACTCCTGTACCATGTCATCACTGTTTCCATCCTTCTTGTACAGCCAATATTAACAATTCTCAAACCGTAGAAATTAAGGACCAAGGCAGGCAGATAATGAAGTGGCTTCATCCCTTTTTTCAAGCATAAATGAAAATAGCACCATTCTGACTGAAGAACACATCCTTGATGTCAGATATGCGTTCACTGCAGTCCTTACCAGGTAAGTTAGTTTTAAGAAGATTCAATTATACTTTATTCCTTTATTCAATTAAAGGCAAAAGGATTTAGAGGATGCCTGGTATGTTTCCAATGCAGTTTCAATCTTAATAATTTCAAGCACTGCAGATTGTCAAGTCACTTTCTGTGGTACTAGACAGCAAAAGTAGAGCCTGGAAGACAAAACAATAAAGCTCTGTCATAGGCAGGGGGTGCCTTAGGTGTCCAACTGCTTAGCTTGTAAAAAGCAGAGTTCAAGATGAGTTCAGAGATGCACCTGATTGACAGACTGCATCTATACACATATATACAGACAAACTGCATAGACAGCATTCCAGTTACAGCAAATCTGATGATGGTAGCTGTTAATTACACTTAGTGTATATGGCTCATTAGATGTACTAATTTCTTAACACTCTAATTCACTTTCCACTCAGTTTGATTTATCATCCTCTTTAGACCAGTTTCTTCAATGTATGTGAATGTTAGTGAAGGACTACTTGAAAACAAAGAATTCAGATTTAATGTAAGTATAGCTTCAGATTTAGGTCATCTGATCCACCTCCAGTCAGGACTGAAGAACACTTACTACTTTGTGCATTTTCTTCTGTAGATAAATGGAGAAAATCGCTTTAATGCTACCATCAAGTTACAGATCTGGGTTCCCATAAATATACAAGGTCACAACATAATGACGGTCAAAAATGCATCAGGAACACAGGTACCTTCTCCTATATTTTTCATAATCCAATACCTCTTCATTAGTTCTTAAGGGGAGGTGGGGAGGGGAATACCCTCAGAGTATTTTTAAAATCTACACTATTGAACCTTTACATATTTACATTTTGCAGCATCATTCCAGGTACAAACTGTGCCAAACTGAACAAAAGTTCAGTGTTAAAACTAAGTCAGATGGTGGGGCTTCCCCTCTCTGTCCCCAAATGGCCTAACACCATTTACCTTTGTCCTCACCGGCGAGAATTGGTTTTGGTTTGGTTTTTTGGTGGTGGTGGGGTTTTTTGTTTTTGTTTTTTCCTTTTCCTTAAAAAAGAAAAAGGAATTTGTAAGGAAGACAACAGAGTAAGGCAAGAACTTGCAAAAAATCTAAGACTGAAAATTTCTGTAGAACTGAAACCATGAATTGAGCCTCAAGAAATCTGTCTTGCAATCTCAAACATCACCCCTCAAAAAAAGGACATACAGAAACATGTGAGAGCAGAACTATTTTGGGGGGGGTTTTAGACATTTTTTACAGCATGTTTTACACATTGGTAACAGATCATAACACTTCCTTGTGCCCACATTTAAAAAGATCATCCAAAGGAGAAAGGCAGCATCAGTAACTTAGTTCTTGGAAGCACTGCACTCCCTTGCTCAGTGGAAAAGGCTGCTGTTTTGTAAAACTTCATTGGCAGACTCAAAGTTCAGTACTTCCCTGTGGAACTTCTCCAGCTGCTGCTTTATTTTCTTCAGAGCAGAAGTTTTTTCCTTTTTCTTGTAGTCCACACCTTTCAAAAGTTTATCTGACAAGTAGTGCAGCCAGAGGACATTGCTGTGTGGATGATAGTCAGACCAGCTGTTGGAGTTCTCCACTTTCATTTGCCTGTAGATATCAAACTGGTAGTCCCCTGTGCCTTTAAACAGTTCTTCATCAGTGGAAAGGTCACAAAACACAGTTAAGCCATCCTTCTCCAGCCGAGACAAGGTATAATCAATGATGTTGACATGAATCCCTGCTGTGGGGATTGTGTGTGTTGCCCCATTCAACACATAACTCAGCTTCTTGACATTAGATTTCTTTACCAGTACATTCCCCCAGTGCAAGTCCCTGTGCTCAAAGTACAGTTCCTGTTCCGCCACAGCCAGGGAAGCAGTGACCTGGTGCAAAATGCTTTTCGCTGTTGCCACTGAATTTAACTTGTTTCTCATATTCTCCAAGTCACTGCCCCCAAATTCAAACTCCAGTATCATGAATAGCTGCTTGTCCCCATAAAGGTCTGGCCGATCATTTTCTGATCCTATTACTTCATGGTATTTGTCCCAGGCTTCCAGGAGATACTTAGGATAAGCCCCTTGAACACAGTGCACAGAATACAAGCTGATGAACCCAACAGTTCTATTCACAGACTCTTCAGATAGAAGACTGAGTTCTTTTGATATTATTATCTCAGGCAGAATCTCTCCAAAGCTCTTTTGAGATTCTCCATTTACTCTTTCAGTCCCCTCAATGGGAATTATTTTTAAGGCCACAGGTCCTCTCTCGCTGCCAACCTGGAAGACCTCTCCGAACACCCCTTCTCCTATTTTCTTGCAATCTTTCATCTTATCTAGAGGAATGCATTCCTCAAAAGTAATAGGCCCTTCCTGCTGGCATTCCCCAAACACCTTCTCTGCATCTGTAAGCATTACTTCCAGAACAGAAAAGTTGTTCATAGGAGACAGCAGGGCCATGGAGGAAGCAGACCAAATAGAGCACTGAGACTTACCAGCAGATAGCATTGCTTGCTGCTCTGAGAGGTGGGATTTCATGGAAGGGGTGCAAACGATGCTGTTGCAGGAACTGTCATCCATGGTAACTTTCTTCTTCTTATGGAAGGAGAAAGATGCTTGAACCCTACCCCAGGAATAGGACCTGTTGAGGAGTGAATAGTCATTGCTGCTTACATCTACAGACATCGCTAGCACACCCCTTTTCATTCCTTTTTGCCTCATCTGTGGTCTGGAAAGGGAGTTCTTAGGCTGCTGCTGCTGCCTCTTGTTTTTGAGCCTTTTTGGACCGAACCTGATTGGCATCCCCCAGCGGCTGGCACTAAAGCCACTGATGCAAGCTTTTCTACAGGTACTGGCCTCTCCAGAAACAACTTTGGTGGTTTTATGTTTATTCTCTAAGGGTCCTTGAAAGCCCAAAGGAGAGGCTGGCTGCTGCCAGGCAAGCTGAGTATCTCCCTTTCTGTTTTGTTTCGTGCTTGCCAGCCACACCGCCACTTCTTGAGGGTCCAGAACCACCACTGGCATAAGCTGGTACTTCTCAGCTCTGCTTCTCTGACAGCTCGAGGTTCCTTTTGTTGCAGCTCTACTTAGAGCATCAGATGGCTCATTAGAAATGGCATCGTCATCATATGGGGCAGAGCGCTGTCGGTGGCTGTTAACAGGAGACAGTGCTGCTGTGGCTGTCTGGGAGGACAAGGGAGGTTGTTCCCGGCAGGGTTCCTGCACCAACGTCCTCAGAACCCTGGGGGACCTTTGCGCCTCGGGGCCTGGCTCAGGGATCCCGCCTGTGCCTTTGGAACAGGACCGTCCGGCTGCCTCCCGCCTCCCGCTGTCAACCCCCGGCAACAGCGAGAGCTGCTCCAAGTCCCCATGAGACAGCTCCAGCGCGCTCTGGGGGGTGTCGGTCGGGGCACTGCTCTGCTTGCGCGGCGGGGAGCGGAGCTGGAGGCTACCGTACACCCGCGAGCCGCCCTCCGCGGTGCTGCTCAGCTCGGCCGGCGGGGCCCGGCGGCGGCGAGTCCGACGGCGCGGCAGCGGCCACTGCGGGGTGCTGCACAGCAGAGGGCGCCTCGCCCCGCAGGGCGGCCCCTGGCGGCGGCGGGAGGCTCCGCGCGGGGACGGGGGCAGCGATGGTGGAGAGGAGGCGAGGTCCGGCGGCCCCGGAGCCCTGTTCTCCTTGTTCGCGGCTCCGTTGCGGCGGGTTCGCAGGCGCCAGGGGAAGACGGGGCGCTTACCCAGCAGCTGTGGGAGGCGCTTGAGGGACGGCGAGAAGTCGGGGTCGTCCGAATGGGTGGAGAGAGCGCTGGAGCTGGCTGAAGCGGCGCTGGAGCCGGCAGAGGTCGAGCTGAAGAACCGCTTACGGTCCTGAGGCGGCGAAATCCAGCGGTCGGGCAGCGGCACCCGGCGGAGGCAACCGCCACGGCGCGAGTAGGTGCGGAGCAGGCGAAACTGCACCGGCATAGCGGCGGCCTGCCCGGGCTAGGCCCTGCCTGACACAAGCTGAGCACCCGCCCGCCTCTGGTTTAAATGAAATACCGCGGGATCTGGGAGCAAGGGGCGAGAGGACGGGGCGACCCCGCCCCGCCTCGGGGGGAGGTGTCCCCGCCAAGCCCCGCCCCCTGCGCGGGTTTGTCTCCTGCGCGGGTTTGTCTCCTGCGCGCCGCTGTCAAAGTGTTGTTTCAGGAGGAGACGGCGTGCGGGGTCAGCGGGGAGCCGGAGCCGGGACCGCGACGGGAGAGCGGCGGCACGGACCCCCAGGTGAGCCCTGCTGGCACCGGCTGCTGCTGTGCAGACACAGCCACGCAGCTGCGGGTCCCCGGTGACAGCCGGGGACTGAGCGGCTCCGTTGCATTGCAGGATATTCGGGATGTGCAGTATCAGAGCGTGCACTGCTCTCTCCAAAGTGATGGCGACAACATTACCGTGATAGCAGAACTGTCTTTAAGCAATGCGCACCAGGTATATATGCAAAAGTTTGCTTTGCTGTCTTTATTCATGGAATCATGAAATGGTTTGTGTTGGAAGGGACCTTAAAGCTCATCCAGCTCCAACCCCTGCCACGGGCAAGGACCCCTTCCACTGGAGCAGCTTGCTCCAAGCCCCTGTGTCCAACGTGGCCTTGAACACTGCCAGGGATGGGGCAGCCACAGCTTCTCTGGGCACCCTGTGCCAGCGCCTCAGCACTCTCGCAGGGAAGAACTTCTTACTAATATCTAATCTAAGCCTTCTCTCTGTCAATTCAAAGCCATTCTCGTCCTATCCTTACATGCCCTTGTCAGAAGTCCCTCTTCAGGTTTATTGTCAGCTCCTTTAGGTACTGGGAGGCTGCTCTGAGGTCAGCCTGGACCTTTGTTCACAGAATTGTTTAGGTTGGTGTCATTTATGTTTAAATATGTTTAAAGTCACCAAGTCCAACCATGAACCAAACACTTTGCATCTCAAATTATTATTGATGCAGGGCACATGATCAATATCAAATTTAAAAAATTCAGTTATGACTAAAATGGAATGGCAGTGAGCAGGGAGCATGCCGCAAGCAGAGGTTTATTACTAAACCCTGAATCAATGAATAACGAGTCTCATTAAATCCTTAGTAATGCCTTAATTGCTAAAATCTGTTAACCTCTCAGAGGTCCAGGGTGAGGGTATCTTTGTACTACAGTGCTGTTGAATTTCCACCTGTGATGCTGTTTTCTGACCCTGCAGAGCAAGAGGGATGTTTTACTCGTGGCAATGTCTCCCAGGAGGCATTCAGAAGAGGAGCCTGATCCCCTTGCTCCACTTTAGGAACTGCTCCTTGTGAAATGATTCTTGCGGTGCTGCCTGCCAGCTTCCACGGCTCCAGGCAGCTCCTCATCGGCGAGCTACACACAAGCTCATACACACAAGAAACTGCTTGGTGGCAGCACTGCACAGGGTGGTTCTTGCAGTGTCAATGAGGGTTTACTATTGCAACCCGTATTTTTCTGAAAGGACCAAAAAGCAACTGATGTTTTGTTGCCTTTATTTCTTTTTCCATAGTTCTTAAAAAGTGGAAGTGCTTTGCTGGTCCCTGGGAAAATCACCTTCGACAAAGAACTGTATCTGGGCCTGGAAGAAGAGAATCATAATGCTGAGGTATCAGAGCATCATGTAGGCAGCTTGGTCTTTGGAGCACAAACAAGCGTGAAACAAAGATGTTTTCGCTGAATCTAGAGAACCAGTCCAGTTCCCAAAGTTAAATTCAGGACCTTTTGAAGCAAACATCTGTTGTGCCATGGAATTTAGTGAAATCAGGTTTTGACTATAGGATAAAAGCTGAGGGAGAATATTTGCTAGTGCGCATCAGAAGTATTTTTAGGGCTCTGTGTTGAACTTTCTGTATCTGATACTAGTGGCTAAAACAAAGGCCTCCTGTCCTCTCAAGGATTCCAACATCAGTATTCTTTCTCTTCCCCTAGTGAAGACAGAGTCTTCTTTAATCTGAAAGACTGTCACTGGTGGCTACTGTGATTACTGTAAGCTTATAAAGAAGACTCAGTAAATTTAACTCCCTTCGCTAGGCTTGCAATGAAAAAAACTTCTTTCATAGTGTATCACAAACTACATATGTAGATGGAGAGACGCTCCCTCTGGCATAGCTTAAAAGATGAAGCAGTAGCTCAAGCTGTATAGCTTTTTCAGTTAAAAGCTAACCAAGAAAAAATAACTGGGCTTCAGCGTATGCTAAGTTGGTCTTGATTCTGTTCCAGATTACTCTTATCTTCCTGAAAGACGAAGTGTTTGATCCCTTGCCTATTATTATAAGAAGCTGCTTTGGTGGACTTCTCGTGCTGGTGTTCATTATTCTGCTCCTCTGGAAGGTGGGTATCATTCATGCATACACAACAAACCAGAACACTTTTTGTTAGATGTTTTAACTTTTTTAAGACCTAAGTGTGAAAGCAGTATTTTCAACTGTGCGCTGAAGGACATCTGCCTCTTTGTGCTGTGAAACCTCTCTTGCATTTTGAGCTGTTCTGAGCATTGCAGTAAAACCTCTTGAGTCCTCTTCTGAAGTGCTTTGCAGAATATTTGCACCTTAAAAAGAGTTTATTATTGGTGTTCTGAAGAGTTTTGAAGAATGTTGGCTTCAGGCTTACAGCTCTGCCAGAAGACATACCTGGGTTGCATCCTGCGTTCACTCATTTCACTTGCTGCAACCCTTGCAATTTTTGTTTTATGAAAAAAAAACCCAAAAATTAATTAATATACAAAGACTTAATAAGATCTTTTCTTTACTTATTTATTTTTCCAGTGTGGCTTTTTCAAAAGAAAATATAGAGCTATGATGGAGCAAGAGGATACGTCCTGAAGACTGAACTGGCCAAAGCAGACAGCTCTGTATGCTTTCCCCAGCTTTTGGAAAAAAAAAGAGTCTCTCTTTGGCAAAGCCAAAGTCTGGCTAAGCTGCAAAGCAATCCATATTCCCTGGTAGAGCTATGGCACTCCAGATCCTGGGACTCTCCCATATTGCTGTTCTGACCGTAGGGGCTCAGCTGTTTTGGGCAATGCAGTTACCAGCTTGTTTAATTTGAGCTATTTATCGCAGAGGTATTGATAAACTAGATTCCCCATGAGAAATTTTGCTTTAATGTAGATACACTAGGAAAAAGTCATCTTGGAGCTTGTTAGATTTATGTATTGGATTGCAGTCTTAGTTGCTATGATGCTGAGTGGCTCTTGATTTTCGTACTGAGTAGCTTCATAGAATTGAAACAAAAATTGATTAGGGGAAGCTTTCCATCCTGCTATTGCTATTGCAAATGGAGACACAATCATTTTACATATACACGTGTATATATATATATATATATATACACACAACTTTGTGCATTTTAATACTGTAAATAATACAGTATGTCCCTTGATGTCTGGTTCTTGGAATCAGAAGCATGTGTATGTGGCTATTAGGGGGTTTTGTACCTCACAACCTTATTTCTGATTTCCCATTTTCAGTTGCTTTCCAATCCTCATTTGGTCACCAATACACCCTTGTATGGTAGACCTCATTGCCAGTTGTCGTGGTTTAACCCCAGCCAAGACAGCCTGTCCACTCGCTCCCCCCCCCCCCCTTCTTGCCCTCCCCTATTCACGGAGAGACTGAGAGGAGAATCAAAAAGAATGCAACTCCCAAGGGTTGAGATAAGAACAGTTTAGTAACTAAGGTATAACACAAATCACTACTGCTACCCCCAATGATAGTAATGATAAAGGAAATAACAAGGGAAGAGAATACAACACCCCATCACCAGGCAACCGATAACTCGCCCCCCCAGCCTGACCAGGCACCGACCGATACCTCCGCCAACCTTGCAGTCCACTCTAGCCCCTTCCAGGTTCCTCCCCAGTTACATCCAGGGCATGACGTGCTGTGGTAGGGAATACCTCTTTGGTCAGTTTGGGTCAGGTGTCCTGTCTCTGCTTCCTCCCGGCTTCCCCTCATCCGTGGCAGAGCATGAGGCTCACAAAGTCCTTGGCCAAACCAAAACATGATTTTTATCAGCTTTGTTCCCAGCCCGAAAGTCAAAACACAGCACTGCACCAGCTACCAAGAAGGAGAAAAATGACTGCTACTGATAAACCCAGGACACCAGTTCAGACTCCTCCTAAATCCCATTTCCCCATATTGGCACTATCCCCACCGAGTGTTGCACTTGCTTGCTGGAGGTGGTTTGGGGATTTCACTGTACACTTTCAAAGGCAGCACAGCAACTCTGTGGTACTGCTCTCCATCACTCAGTCCAAACTTTGGCAGAGCTCTTACAAAGCCATTCTTCTTTGTATGTCCCTCCGTGGAAGGAATTATGTA